ATAGGAATTTTATTGCTTACGGGTTTAAGTATAGCTGGACAACTCCCAAGTTTTCCACTGGTTCTCTGACTGATGTCAACTTGTAATTAAAGCATCCCTTTGTCATTAATCTGATGCTCACTAGTGACTGGCTTCACCCAGGAAGTTACCTGGTGTGGACTTATAGTGAGATGTCGTGACCAGTGGAATCCATCAAGTCAGGTGAGAGAACTGTTACTCCCCGATGAGGCTGGTTGGAGGTTGCACTGATATATATATAACAACTAGTTCCCCTTATGAATTTAGATGAAGCAATAAGAAGACTTAATTTGTCTGAATCGTGTAATGTCTATTTGAGCAACACATTTCGAAAACAATCTGATCACACACACACGAACTTGTCACATGAAATTAAGAGATAAGAGGTGAGAAAATAGACAAGTTAGGTCAAGTTAAAAGGATATATTGAAAGTCAAAATAAGAATGAAAACCATCAAACCAAAGAAGAGAGGCGATAGTACATCTACTCTAGGAGGTTTAATGTTATGAGGTTTTGTTGCTTTGAACCCCACCAGGTGGTTTAAACTTTCTAATTGCTAGCTAGGGCTTCTACAAACTTTAGGATATGCCCCAAACACGTTCTACATACAGGTTTAAAGAGGCGTAAATACCAATCTTATGTAGTGCTTCTATAATATATATCGCAATAGAGGAGTTAGGTAGCCTATTCTAATCATCAATAGGTCCTGAGGATTCTAGGTGCTTCTGGAGCTATTTAGGAATATGCCAAGAGATCGATGAGTCCTCCTTATGTATGCGTGTCCGCACGTACATTCAAATTGGTAAATACAGTGGGATGTGACATCATTTTTCTCATGTTCTAAGGGCTAAGGTGGATATATTGGCTTCACATTCTCAATTATTATAATATTAGCTGCATAAAATGTATTTTTAACAGCAGCGTTCAATCGCTGTCTAGTTATCAAGCTGCTATGATGCTCCATATAGGGTAGCTTGATGTACACGTCTTTCTTAGTGGCGAGTTGGACAGTAAGTCTTGGTGTTCTGACTACTTTATATCTCCGGATGAATTTGTTTGGATAATTGTTATCAACCAGAGTTTGTGTCAACTTCCTTTCTTCCTCATCAAGTGTGTCGTCGGTGCATATACGTTGGATTCTACTGAAGAGACACCTCACTCACTAAAGCTCTTTTATATCGAATAGGGCAGAAACTGTGGTAATTAAGATACTGTCCTGTCCAGGTAGGTTTTCTATAAGTGCTCCTTTTTATTAACCCCTCAAGCTGTTGACTGAGCAATATATCTCAGAATGATAAACAATTATCTTCCTCTTCTACAGACGTAAGTGATATGCTTGCTATTCTGAACTTCATTCATTCTATTTAAAATTGAGATGGCAGAACAAGACTTATCACTGATGATTACAATATCATCTACATACCTTCTTTAAAGTGGTTCATTTTCGATTAAATCTTCCGATAAATTCTCAATGTACGACATATAAATATCTTCCCGATACGAATTAAAAACATGCAATAAAGGTTAATAAAGCAGGATGATTTAATGAATTCGTCAAATTTCGGTAGAACTCGTCAGCTGCTGAATACTCTACATACACGGATATACATATCATCTAGGAAAGACCAGTCGCCAATCCTCGACACTTCAAACTGCATATATCAATTTGAGTGTGTTTGTGGCAGCAAATACATAGGTCGTACGGAAAGGCGATTATCCACTGGCATGATGGAGCATTTGCCAAAATGGTTGAAAACAGTTGAGTTCAAAGTGCCAAAATCCTCAATAACAAAACATCTTGTAGATTACGGACATGATATCGACGCGGTCAAGTCATTCAACATTGTCAGCAAACAAAGAAACAAGAAGATGCTTGCAATTGCAGAGGCTTGTGCAATTCGAATTTATAAACCAACTCTCTGTATACAAAAGGAGATGGTCGTGACTCTGAATCTACGATGGTAATACGTTTTACTTATTATTTTCTACTTGTTATTACTATTATTCTACCTCTTCTTTTTACTATAATTGTTATTATTATTATTATTCTTGATTCACTTAAAACTATACTTTATCAGTAAGATTATCTTAACTCACTTCAACACTATTATTATTATAACTATTACTATTGATATTAGTCTGTTTGCAATTCTCGTTATATTCCTTAATGAATAATTGTTTATCTAAGTGATGTAATTGAAGCGTAATGCAATTTATCTTAATTTTGGTCTCTCTTACTCTCTCTCCCCTTATCTATTTGAACATGACCTGGAAAACATTCGCACCTGTCGTCTTTCTGCATGACTAATTGAATGTAGTTCATTTGCTTACTTATCAGTTTTATATCTCCCAATGTAATTTCAAAAGTATATATATCCGTGTATGTAGAGTATTCAGCAGCTGACGAGTTCTACCGAAATTTGATGAATTCATTAAATCATCCTGCTTTATTAACCTTTATTGCTTGTTTTATATAAATATCTGCTGAAAGGTACCCTAACGAACTTCCCATAACAACATCATCAACTTGGCAGAAACAATTGCCTTTAAATGTGAACCTAACATTGTTAGTACATAGAATTGACGTTAACACGTCTTTTAAACCTACCTATAAAACGTGTTTGGGGTATATCCTAAAGTTTGTGGGAGTCCCAGTAATTAGAAGTTTAAATCACCTTTATGTGTTCAAAGCAACAATTCGTCGTCGCACTAAACCACGTTTCTTGGTAAACTTTGTATTGATGCTAGCTAGGGTGAGTGAGAGCTGGCTGTTAGCCAAATTTGGTAGATAGTTATTTACGTCAATGTGTACGTCCCCAATATTTGGTCATGCGTTGATTTCCTAAATAAACAATCTGTTGCCTGACCCGTGTCTTTCGTCGTTACATTTGGTGTCGCTGCCTACCGACAAATGGAAAGCCTGTGCCCTGCAGTTTTTGATGGAGACATATGGAACTTCGGGCAGGACTTCCAGGCTTTTGCGCAGTTGAGTTGGGTTTAAGATCTGTCAGCAATGAGGCGGTTACTTGGGAGGCTGCTGGGAGGTCGGAAGAAAGCAGCATATGAAAGTGTGAGGCGAAATACCGAAGAATGTGCGACAGGGTCAGGCAAACAGTTTCCAAAGTGGGAAGGACCACATATGGTCACTTTGAGATGGAGTGATGCAGACAAAATCGCCATGTCAATCAAAGAGAAACAGGTGAAAATCAGCGAGCGCCAAGATTCCAGACAACCAGACAAACGAACGAAGCCCCCAGAACCAAGAAGACCGAACCAATCTCAGTCGCAAGTCTTTGACGGGGGAAGTAGTGTGGTGAAAGCTGGCTGTTAGCCGAAATTGGCAGATAGTTATTTACGTCAAAGCGTACGTCCCCAATATTTGATCATGTGTTGATTTCCTAAGTAAACGATCTGTTGCCTGGCCCTTGTCTTCTGTCGTTAAACTGTTGGTTTAGTGATCTTTATGGTTATTTTGACTTTCAGTATGTCCTTTTAACTTTACGTAAGTCTATTTTCTCAAGTCTTAACTCTTTATTAATATCATAGATATCCATTACTATGATAAGTTAGTATGTGTGACCAGATTGTTCGAAATGTGTTGCTCAAATACACATTACATGATTCAGACAAATTACGTCTTCTTATTGCTTTGTGTTTATCTAAATCCACAAAGGGAACTAATTGTTATATATATAACACGGACTGGAGAAGTTGGAATTCATGGGATGACCATTGGATGTGTGGTCCCACTGGCTGAATAGTCTACGACCCCGCCCTTCTTGTAACTTGAAAGCCCTAGGTTCGAACCCCCATAGTAGTAGGTGAGCACTACTCTGAGAAGTTCCAAACTAATACAAAACTGCCATTGAATACTCACGGGTTTTCCAATAGTCATTTCATTTTCTGAAATCTTCACCAGTAATTTTTTTTTGACTTTTATATTAATCAGAACAGAATGAATTGTGTTTTCTCTTCTACTGTTGACTTGTCAATTGTGAATAAGTTTCCTTGCTACTCATGAATACTGATATCCTCCTAAATACTTTATGACACTTACCTGATTGAAAATGAACCGACTTCAGATAATCCAAAGATTGTTGATGATGACTGAGATTTGATTGGAAAAATTCAAGGCTCTTGTTTTTTTTCAGTTTTTTTTCATTGATGACATCATCATCAGCAACAACAACAAGAACAACAACAAGAAAAAACGAAGCATTTTCATCTTCTCCAATCCTAAGAAAACAACATTTCTGCATTAAATTTGACCTTCCAGATTTTTTCACGATAATCTACAGTTTTTGTTCGTTTGTTAATCACAATTGCTTGTTCATGTGTGTCTAACCAACCAACCAACCAACCAACCAATGTGTGTGTGTGTGTAGTGTATAGCGGTATCAATAATTGGATCCCATAAACATTTGATTGGTAGGCCAACCGGCCGGCTAACTGACCAACTGGCTGGCTGGCTGGTTGACCGGCCGGCAGTTTTAGATTTACGACAGGTAGAATCAACGAAAAATAATCAATAATATGTGCGCGCCAGATAATCATTAGAGAAGAAGACGAAGAAGGAGGGGAAGAACCAGTTAAAAATTGAATAATTCTTCATGTATATACATCAATATCATCTTTTGACCAAGTGGACCAACTGGAGAAGTCAATTAAAACCAGCATTTCTTTATAAACTATTATTCCCCTTCCATGTATCATAGTGTATATCCTTCACTAGAATTCCATCTAGCAATTGTATTTTAGTCAATGCATTGCTTTAGGTGAAAAATACTCACTACGTGTTTGTACAAAATAGACAGACATGTACGCACGCACGCGCGCACGATGCACACACAGTAGGTGTGGAAAGTGGTGGATATTGTGCTATTGTGACATGTGTAATAGAATGGTATTGGAGTTTACAATATATATACACACACACACAGCCAAAATGTACATATATACACAGATAAAAGATGGATATATAGGCGAATATAGTCGATAGGCAAAACCTTATTGTATGTCAGTTACACGCCTGTCTATTCATTCTAACTAAAAACCAGAGGAACACACCTTGATCAACACTAACTAACTACCTGACTATCTGACGGAGTGTGCCTGTGTGTGTGTGTGTGTGTGCGTGTATCCGTTGTTAGTAATGCCGGTAACAGTTAGAATACCTTTTCCCTACTTACTTACTTACTTACTATATCCAGAATAATTATGAACAAGCAGAAATGTGCTTATATCCTGTGCTATCTATTATATCCTGATGCTTAACTCTTCATTAGAACTATTTTAATCGATCCACGTATATAAAATATACACATAAAAAAAAACATTTTTACAGAAGAAAAGACACCGAAAGAGACAGAGGAGTGAGACACTGGCTGTGGGAACAAACAAAAAACCAGTCAGCCAGGAAACAAGCAAAAACTCTTCTAAGTCTTTTTGTCTTCTCTCCATAATACCCCTTGTTTTAACAAATCTGTGAAAAATCCCGCAAAACCTTCAAGTGAAAGAAGTTTTTTTCTAAATTTTCCATCACTCAATCTGTGCTAAAAAGAAGTACATTCATTACATGACAGATAGATGACAATGAAACCGCATAAAGACTACAAATTTATCAATAAATATTCCACTTATGGATTTATTCTCGTAAATGTTATATTCCTACTATGTAATATTTGTATAACACCAACGAATGGTGCAGCAGTAAGTGACTGGTAGTTACAAGGTTATTTTGTTTGTTTGCTTTTTCTTTTTACTTTTTATGATATTAGAGTAGCCTGTTCGCCTTCTTTCCTTGCCTAGTTAGTAAGTTTATTCACAAAACGCCTAGACACTGACTGTCTGAGTTCGAATGAACTGTAGTCAATATTTTGTTCCCAGTTGAAATTATCAGATGATGATGATGGCTACATTATAATTTTGGTGTGCAATTGCCTTCTCTGACATCTTCAATACGAATTGGACTGTTTAAAACCACGGAGAAATATTCTTTTTATTTCAACTTGTTGATAACTGAAGCAATTTTTATCATTCTGTTTGTGAACCGATCAAATTGGTTAACAGTCTGATAGATATTCAAGTGATAGTTTGTCAGTTTACTAATTTTCTATAGTTGGTTTGTAAGGATTACTTTTGTTTTTACGAGTTTCACCACGGGATTGATATGAGTTAGAGAAGCAATGAAAACCAGTCACAGAGAGTACTGGACAGCCAGTTGTTTCCTCTGTCCTAGTGCTTTAGAATCATCGGCAATACGTACACGCATCCATCGACTGGGGTTCAAACCCTGGACCTCCCGGTTACAAGACAAGCTGATTTGTATACCATTCAGCCAGTAATTCTATTGTTTATTTACTCCCATGGGTGTGTACTGCCGACAGGAACCTCGAAAACTAGGACAAAACAGCTGTCTACTCCTCGAATCAATCCCAGATCAAACTTGTGACATTTATTTATAATTTTCTATGCATTATTGTGTAGATTTAATATTTATTGATATTATTGTACTAATTATTTATATTATTAGTTGCATATATGACAGATATTTGCTGTTCCCTGGATTTATTCCTCTCTGTCGCTCTATCTATCTTTTGCTGTCTCTCTCTCAATAACAGACATGCATACCATCACCGAATTGCACAGAATGTACATGTATGGGAATTCCAGGACCTAAGGTAATTTTAACATTTTTAAATATTTTTTTTTAAATTTGCGCCAGTCTGCTTCCATTTTTTTCTTTTGTTTTTCTTTTTTTTTAAACCACAGTGTCAGTTAATTAGCCAGCATTCAATCTGCTGTCTCTCCCCTCTTCTTTCTTGTTCTTCTTCTTCTATTTTACTTGTATTTTTGATTGTTCTATGCGAATGAAGAATTCGAGTAGGCAATTTTTCTAGTTTTTTTAAGAAATTATGAAGGAATAGAATGAATGTGACGTTAATTTATTCCCATAGTTTCTATCTATCTACCTATCTATCTATCCCATTTTAAATCGGTAGGCATGAACAGAAAGGAAATGTTGTGTTACCACAGATATTTGAAGTACCACTAATTGTATTCACATAGATAGATTTCATTTTCAGAGGCATTTAAAGAGATTTACAAAAATTCCGGAAAAGTATAAAGATGAGAATGATATCAATTTAAGGTTACTTTAATTCAGCTGAGTCTTTTTTTGTTTTGTTCTGTTCTGTTTTGTGGACTACTTGTCCCCAAATTTTTACCGTTCATTTTTCTTTGTTATCGTTGTAAAACGAAAGAGACATTTAGGTAGTGGACTGACACACCGGAATTGAATATATATATGTGTTGCTTGAAGCCTTGCGTCGGTGGCATAGCGGTTACGACGCTCGCCGACCATTCCCATGGTTCAGGGTTCGAAAGCCGGCTGACACACTCCACTAGCTTGAAGCCCCATGTTCCACTGGGGAACCTATAGGAAACAAAAGACGTTGCTTTATAACAAATAAAATAAAGGGATGAATAGAACTCATTTCGTTACAATAACAGTAATAACACTTTGAGGAAACTATTAGCATTAGATAGCGAAACGTCAGTAGAAACAATATCGTTTTGTTTTTCATTCATTGGGAAATGCGAAAGAACCCTTTATTATAATAATAATAGTAATAGTTAAAACTTTCACAGAGTCGCATTACAATGTACTAACTCCTTGAACCGAATCTTCAAAAAGTATAATAATCGATATTGTATCACTGGAAGCAATATTGTTCCACTCGAAGCTTCCTGCTTCGAAAAAAATCCCAATCGTAGATATAAACTTATCTGAAATACTGGGTCAGTATGAATTGTGACTCATTGTGGTAATTACATCATTAAAACGTTATGCAGTGGAGTAAACACAATGTATTTTGATCAGTAGAAAATTTAGATAGCACAGAGCTTTAACTAAGCTATCGTTCTAAGGATTTAGTGTAATTTGCAGGATTTCATTATGAGCTGACATTGGTTAGAGAACCATTGAAAAAACCAACTGGGTGTACTGGACAGCTAACTGTTTCGTCCTAGTGCGTGGAACTCTTCAGCAGTTGGTGCCCACCACAGGGATTCGAACCCAGGGACTTTCGGTCGCAAGGCCAGAGAGCTCGTAGATCATTAAGCCACTGGCCAATTCATGACATAGCGCAACTACTTTGCAATGTCTTCTTCGATGAGTTACTGCCTCATCTTCAATCGATGTCAGCTCATGATGAAATCCTGTAACCAAACTAAATAAAATCCTGAAATACTGCGAAATACACATAAGTCGAAGTACAGGTGTCAGGATGTAATCAGTTGAGCAGTTGTCGGCTATAATACTTTTCATCCTATTGAACTGCCCTTGCAATATTCTACTCCAGAGATTATAATCTAATATAACACAAAGTGATATGCATCCAACATCGACAGTTCTACACTAATATGGATGGTATTCCCCAACAATACTTTCGGTTACGGTAAATTTGCTTCATCTTGTCATTTTATGGCTCCAGTCAATTCCAGTATATTGTGACCTGAATATTTTTGAGGTTCCCCTTGATGAATTTTCGCTTCAAGATGGTGTCTAAAATTGAGAGAAAAAGAAAAACAGTACTCCAATGATTCTGACTTAGGATTATTGAATTACACAAGCTATTATACAAGTAGATTAAAGGTCATTTGTTGCTTGTCCATGCATCTTTTCTTCATTTTTTTTACTCTAAGATTAATATTTCTCTGATTATGCTTCTTGTAGGATAAATTATACCTAGGGGATCAGGAAAGTTGAATGTAGATATATTTCCCCCTTTATTTTTTTAAGGGAGAATGAATTTGTCAAGCGCCAAATGTCATTGGCACCATTGTTACTATTATTATTATTATTATTATTATTATTATTATTACTGATACATGAAACAAATCAATGCTAACTTTTTTTACTTACTTACTCGACATTTAAGGCATTCACATGAAATATTAAACCTACCGTATAATATTTACTGTGCATGTCACTTGTTAGTAGTAGTACCACTAAAAAGGTGAGATCTGACAAGGAAGCAATAAAAATAATAGTAATAATAATAATATAAAAGACAGAAAGACTTTAATGTGACAGGTTGTTCTACCTAGTAGCTAGAATAGCTAGAATAGAATGTACTGTGTGTGTTTGTGTGATATTTACTCAGACAATCTGTGCAATACAAATTATGTCATTTGTTTATCATATTCTGTTCATATACATGTGTGTGTGCGGGTGGATGGATGGATGGATGGCGGGATCGATGTTTGTTTAGATCTGGATTCCCATCTTCTGAATACAAAGAATAAGCCACACAAACGCACACACACAACGAAAAAATTGTCTAATTTACCCACCGAGTCGTGTAACCTTCTGTGCAGTCTTCATCTATTCTGTCGTCTAGACTGTATGTTACTGTTGGATGAAATTTATTGGCATATAAAGCGTGAATTATTTTGGTGTTTAGCTCTCTAAATCTGAGTGTGCTTTTTTTTAAAATTCCACATCAAGGTGTCTAATTGGGGCAATTGTAAGTTAGGCAAACAGTGAAACAATTAGAATGTCTATACACCCTGATCTGTAGATATTTACTAAGAAAATCAATTTATAATAATGATTTACTTTATTCCAAAAACAGTACTTGTGATACAGAATGTAATTTTCAGCATTAATCACCACACCTTGCCTCTAATTTCCTCAAATTATAAATCAAAATTAATCACACAGAAAATTTTCCACATTTACAATAGGGGTGGGTAATGTCAAAAACATGCAGCATATAAAATGGAAATAATAATAATAATGACAACAACTAAGGTAATAATATTAATACAAGTGAAAATCGCCATGGGCTTGTTTCACACAGTATTGTCGGTGTATGCGGTATAGAAATCTTAGCATGTTTAAAAATATTGAATATAATGTTCTCTTTACATGATATGGTGAGGGGAGAAACAAAGATTACAGCAGTCATAGAGACAAGTTGGTATTTGCAATTATGAGAGTAAAACAAACAAAGAAGCAACAGGACCATAAATATGATAGAAATAATAATAAAAGTAAAACTTAAAGGTATATAAGGATGAATGGAGGAAATTGTTTATTTACTAGATGAAAAAAGGTTAGTTAATTCTTCAAACCGTTAAAAGGGAACTTGGTTTGGACATATTCATCATATTTTCATCATACTGAATACGTGACAAGTATGGTATCATAGCATTTTTATACTTAGACGCGCGAGCATACAGTTTTCTGAAGTTACTTGTTGTTCTACCTGAGGAGATGCAAGGTGAAAGCTGAGGGTTAGACAAAATCCCTTTAGCAAATCTATTGCGCGAAGTGAAGTGCCTATGGACAACGACGTTAACTATGTGGTCCACTGGGACACCATTCACTCTACTGGCCGTCTTCAGCATTCTACGAATTGTGACATAGTCCTTTCTAAGCAAATCAGGAAAGAAGAAGGGTGAAGGAGAATAGTAATATATTATGATTTGATTTTCTTTTGTCTGTTAATTATTATATAAAGATATATATATACATATATATATTTCTTTTTAGGGTGATCTTGGAGCTCGAGGACATATCGGTAGACCAGGTCCAGTTGGATCACGAGGACTACCTGGACTTCCCGGTCCAGAAGGTGAACGTGGTATACCTGGTATCCCAGGAGATCCTGGTCCCAAAGGAATAATGGTAAGTTCATCTTAATTCAAATAGAAGCCTATCTGACTTTTAAAACGTTGTTTTTTGATTTATATAACCCCGTCGTTGAAATCTTACTAAAATTCAGTTTAATCTAGTTAATTTCTATTCATCAGGATGTTAAATATTATTACTATCCAGGAATAAAGTCTCTGACATCAATTTCAGAATGTCTTTATAACGAAATTATACATATATTTATTGTAGTTTCATTGTGATTCTCTAAAGTCTGACAGCTTCACTTCATACACCTTTTGAATACAGTTCTATGCCGATAAACCAATCAACAACCAGTCCTCCATTCTCTGTACACAAGATAGCGAATTTGACGAGTAATTATAGGCGCACACGAGTAATACCTTCACCTATGCATATAGTAGTAGTAATAGAGCCCAGCTAAACATAATGACGTGTTTCATCGTGTGACTAACTTATGGATGACTTGTTCATCAGTAAATATTTAACCAATCATTCTTTCTCCCCCAATCAGTTAAAAAAAACAACAACGAAAAACTCACTGATTTCAGCATATTTGCCTACATGGAATTATTTCTGCCTTTTAGTTGTCTGATAAAATTAAAAGTTTAATGATGCTTCTTTTTTTCTCTACAAGCCCACGATAAATTTCTAAATTAAATACTATCTGAACAAAGCAAGAACAACAGCAGTTTTTGCAGAATAAAGTGGTACCATCATTGTTTATTTCGTTGCCTTCTCGTCACCTGCTTACAGGACAAAGACATTATTAAATATACCTACAACAACAATTTTAACATACTTGTACAGAGTTCATTTGATTCATAATATATACATATATATATGTAATATTAAACACTATTCCAAACAATAATAATCATACACAATGGAAACTTTTCTGCATTACGCGTTCAGATGAAAGAGAGATGAAAAATATCCAGTTACCAGGGTGGCGAAGAAAGACTGATAACCGCTTCTCTCTGAACGCATAAATCAGGTTTCAGGCGCTTGATGGAAATGGCTTCAGCAAACTTGACGAGAATTGAGCTCTTTTGCCTACTGATAATTTTGAACGACTTTTTGACGTCCACCTCATGACCCGTGTCGAGGAGATGCCTGGCAATGGCACTGTTTACAGCATGTGTTCCCTTTAGACATAAGCTTTTTGTTATATGTTCAGAAAATCGTAGATATGCCTTTCTTTCTGTCCTTCTAATGTAACTGCTCCCGCAGATACATGTAAATTTGTATGTACAGTTAGAGGTGTTACTATTAGAAGGACATCTATCGATTTTTTGATTTCATCAGAGAGCAAGTTGTTCGACTGCTATCGACTAAAATCTATTGAAGAGACAGAATCAGTTTCGCTACATAATTTAATTTCTTCTAACTAAGTTTTTATTTTGTATTTATTGCAAAAATAATATTTCTTGAGGAAACGTTTTAACTAAATAGCTCCGAATAGCTGACTTAGTGGTAACGTCTCTGACTGCAGACGGCACTGGATGACGCGGGTTCATATCCCACAAAGGTTATGAGCTCCCCTCCCCGCCCCCCGTCAAGTTTGCAGACACGCCTTGCTTGACTGATGAATGCTACCTAACACGAAACCTAGGTCAAACAAGGTTTCTTGTGGCCGAATGCCTCCAACCGTCTCTAGAACCAATAGTCAGATGCTTGCCAGTCCCTGACTACATGAGGAAGTTGACTGCAGCTGTCTCTAGTGAGAAGTTGTAACCAATAGGCTCTATCCGGTAGGGAATGAGGAGAAATACTCACCGCTGCTGACGATAGTGGCTGGTACCAGTGCATAATATACGCTCTGAATCGTGGTACGTTACTGCATTGATTGTGTATTTTTACGTTGCTTAGTGGACGCCTATATAAGGAATTGTTCAATGTTCAGTACTTTAAAAGTGAAATACAGTTGCATTTTCTCTACTTTACTTGTGTTTTATTTATTTATAGGGTGATAAAGGTGTTATGGGTGTTCCAGGCGTTGATGGACTTAAGGTAAGTAACACATTAAATAAATAAACTTCAATTTCGAATTTTGTTTTTCTAAACTATTTTCGCTAGTTACTGTCAATGTAGCACTATTTAAAAAATACTAAGATTTAAGAAGTCAGAGTCATAAGATTAACTGTCGAAAAATGTTGTTTATTAGTCTCAGTTTGATTGAAATAAAAAACTCCTTCGTTTGTTAATTTCAACAGCCTTATTAGTATTAAATACAGAAACGGAGATTTTGTTCCGCATTCATTGGAACATTCGAAATATGTTCTCCATGATAATGATGGTTAATCATGTGAAGTGACAGTACAAGGAAATGCTAATTTCGTGTAGACTTTTCAGGATGTCGAACACTTTGTAGGAGTGTAAAATGAAAATTAGAATTTAAAATAAGCAAAACAAGTAAAAACAAGTTAAACCGACATCCAGTTATTGTGAAGCACTAGCATAGCAAATGAATATCAGTAATCTCGCAACAATTTTCATTAACAAAACTGTACTACTATATAATAAAAAGTAGTATAAAATAATAGAAGTATTTATTCCCGCCTTTTATATTTCTGATCTTTGAAGATGAACATGTTGAATTCCCTTATAAGCACCAATTTGTGGTGACGTAGATTCCAAGTTTAATATTTTCATAGGCTAACTAAAAGCAACTGGGATTTCAGGTATCTACGTTTGATTTGAATCTCATAGAATATTAAATCCCACTGACATACCAGCGCATTCAGCCAACTATAATAATAACTTTATTCTGGACAGTTCGTATGTATATTTACAGAATTTTCAGCGGAGTTGATTAATTGATATTTCCTCTTCAACCAGGGATCTTCAGATACAAAAAATGATCGACAGTAGATTGCACGGCATAATTCCTGCAGACTGCTATGAAGCTCAGATTAATCCATTAAGATATTTCCTAATTTGCCTCTCTTCTTCGAGAAATCCACAACATTTGGTTGAAAGCCATTTTGAAAAAGAGTTCAGGAGTGCATTTCCAGACTCATGGATATAACTCACGGACAGTTATCTCATACATTAGGATCCGTTGCCACCCAACTATGATTTATCCTTTTCTCAGGTTTAGTAGACACAAGTGCGTCGGTGGCACAGAGGTAGAATGCTCACTAACTACGCCTCAGGTGGTCCGGGGTTCGAGCCCTGGCCACCGACGGACTCCAGCCAATAATAAAGCTGATAAAGAAGAGAGATTGGGCCTGAGGCTGGCGAGCAACCCTATCCTGTAAAAATATACAACACCACTGCTACAGGAACTTCAAGCCTCTAGCTATAAGGCGCCCTATGTTCTACTGGGAACAGGAAGGAATGAGAAAAAAAAATAGCAAAGACAAGCGAATCACCAGTTTGTAGACATTCTAAATACTCGTGAGAGCAAATAATACCATTTTAGGGTTGTATTTTAATTCATTAAAACATAGTGGAAAGGAGAAATCATACACAATATAGTGCGAAAGTTGCTAAAGTGAATTCTAAGTTGTCCTGTCCAAAAAAACTGAGGATCTAATCAAATTTCCTTATTCCCTCGCTAATATATTTATTAAACTCATCAAATGGGAAATAATTTGTCTACATTATTTTTCTGCAAAGATTTTTAAAACTGGTTTGGTTAAGATACTCTTTTAAAATGTTTCTCTTTTTGATAAAGATAAATCCTACTCATTACTCATTTCAAACGAAATCTATATTTGCCTCTTAGAGGATGTCTAGTGAAGATGTTGCGATGATCCTTTTGCAGATAGTCGAAGGGGGGCTATTCTTGCAAAACAGACTTGTCAAATTTTTTTAAGTCTTTATCCAGGTGACCATAGTTATAACAATGTTACTTTATGGTTATTTGAAGTGACCGTCTACTTCTTATTCTCTTTGCTCTTTTTTCACTTTAATTGAATAGGGTGCGCTTGGTGTCAAAGGACCAAAAGGTTTTCCAGGTGAAGAAGGATGTTGCGGGGCAAAGGTAAACAATTTCTCCAGTTTTTCGTTTTCAAAGAGTTATTACTAATGTTATTATTATTCCTTTGGGTTCGAAGTGGGAAGTAACAGCTTCAGGAGAACATCTCCATCGCATCCTGTTCTCTACAATCCCCTTCAACTGGCCCCATGACTCACCATAGGCTCTCATCGCCTCCATGCCACATATGGATGCGAAACTCATCATTTCCCATTGGCTTTCCACTCAAGAGATAGGCTGACGTGCGATATCATTCAAAGATTTCATGATCCTTTCTCCAATCTATTTGTTGAGTAACAAGTTCTTGATCGGTTAGTTCCAAGAATTTCTTGTTGGTAAAAAAACCTTTCTGGTAGACCATTTGACCTCCAGGATGGAGCCAGTTAGGTGGGTCGATGTTGGATGCTTTTTTTGACATGCAAGCCAAGTTTCTAACTAAGTAACTGACTAACTAACTAACTAGCTTAACATTGGTGCTGGAAATCCAAATTTTGTTGGTTATACTGAGTGGAGTAAATTTTCAAACAGATTTCAGATTGATGAAGGTGTGTCTTGCCTTTCCGATCCCAATTTTGACACCTTCATTCAGTTCCTGGTTATAAAATAGTAATGATATAGAAAGTTCCAGGTCAAAATATCCTACTGGCCTATGAAAGTAGGGATTGCTGATGACCATCATGAAAGAAAGTGGATAAAAGTCAATCAATTACCACGGATCCAATGTTTTTATACACCTATTTATTACTATCTAAGTAGAGCAGGAACAACAATGGTTTGTGCAGAATAAGATGGTTTGACTATCATTTATTTCATCGGCTTCTCATCAGTTGAGTACAGCCTAAAGAACTTATTATCAAGTTCATGTGCAGAAAAGTTTAAAATACTTGTAAATTTTATTATTATCATTATTATTCCATATCTTGTCATCTCGTTTGCAACCTGGGCAGCTTTTCCAGTTCTATGCAAGATGTGGACATCCTATGCTCCCACACAAACTTTTTTCTTTTGTCTCAAGGAGTCTCATCGTGCTGAAGTTTCTGTAGCAACTTTGTTTACAGGGTGGCGTTACTAGCCTCACGCCTGAGAAGGGGGTTGTTACATTAATGTATGGTTTACAGAAGAGCGACTTTCTGGGTTGCTCCACTTAGCATCAAGAAAACAAGCAATAAAGCAATCAGGACAACAACTGCAAGGGGAAAAATATTCACAACAGGGAGGGCAGTGGCAACAACAAAAAAACCGAAAGTCAAATAGTTACAATAAATTCCACAATTTCTTGGCAAGAAGCGCCAGAGAAATAAGAGTTTTATGCAACTGAGCAAATATTATAGCGTATGTAATCGAAAAGCGCGTCAAGGTCGTTTTTCGAATAAGATGATAAGCAACTATTAAAATGGAGAAACAATGTGATGAGTTCAGCTCATATATCACAGAAATAAGAGTCAGTCAGTTACACTATTCCAAGCGGGGGGGGGGGGGAAGAGGCTAAATACAAAGATTGCGCAATCAAATTAGAGAGAGAGAGTGCAAAAAACCAGTTACCAGGACACGGAAAGACTGATACTTGCTTCTTTTTGGACTTATCAATCATCTTCCAGGGGTTTGATAGCTATTGCTTCGCCAAATTTGACGAAAATCGAACTATTTTGTCCACTTCATAACTCGTATTCATGTGATATCTGACAGTGGCATTGCTGCAAAATATCTGCTTCCTTGACATGTAGACTTTTTAATGGTACATGTTCAGAAGATCAAAGGTGTGCCCTTCTTTCTTTTCTCTTAATGTAACTGCTACCGGAGATGTATTTAAATTTGTATACACAGTTAGAGTTAATGTGAGAAGGCTATTTGTCAACTTTTGATTCCACAAAAGAGCATGTTTTCCGACAAAGGGAAACCAACTTAGCTGCAGGATAGGAGCATTCGCTGGTGAGGTATTCAGTCTTCTGCTGACTATTTCAGGAATGGATTTGAATGAAGATAGGCTTCTTTGATTAGCTGTTCACTTCTTGCCTCTTGTTTATCGAAATTGTTAATGATTTAAATATCCCTCCAAGTTTATTAACCTTGCGTTTCTGTACTAGGTAGGCTACGAACTTTAACCATCCGTGTATTTCATTAAATATCCAAATGCAGTGGAATACTTTCGGAGGGATTAGTAAATCCCCACTTACGATAACTAGAAACAATCTGATTGGACTTCATCATCTAGCCAAGTTTTCGTTTCAGCTCAAGTCATTATCTCTCCTCACGGGAGAGATAAATTTCGCTTGAAGTACTACTCATCTGGATATTCAATTTGCTTAGGAAGTATTTGTCAAATATTTGAATTGTTTAGATAGTTGGAGGCAATCGGGCACATGAAGCCTTCGATCTAGGTTTCGTGCTAGTTGGCACTCACCAGTCAGCAAGGCGCATCTGCAGTCACCCTGAAGGAACTTCTGAGATTCGAACCCTCGTCACCTAGTGAGTGCACTGACCTCCTGTAGGACTGTTTGGAAAAATCATTTATATGTCGTAAAAATAAATCGATTTTAAAGTATATTACAATAATTATTTCATGAAAAATTAGCAAGGGGTCTTCGACTGTGAAGGAATTGAGGCTTGCTGAAGTGAATCCTAAGGTTGGTTTTCTCAGAGACTGTATAAATGATCAATGAACATTCGAAGTGGTATTGGAAAGCTGTTCATTCGCCGTAATCATATTTTGTCCTTACTCAAAATCTCTTAAACAACACACTAGGAAGCACATTGATTCTATTCTTTCAAGTGCCGCTGAAGGGAAAAGAAATACAATACAACGATCCTCTGAGTTTTCGTTTGAAGAGCGGCAAGCATTCACCGATTATTTCGAGAAGTAAACAAAAGCCGACCATTCAAATTTGATAACAAGCCCAAGATCCCTGGAAATAGGACTCAAGTTTCTGGAAGATCTGGTCAAATTTATGTTCAATATAATTGGAGACCTTGTCTGTTGGGCCAAAACTCTGCCATGTCAACCCAAAAAATGAGCTTGTTTATTCGTCTAAGAGTCTCATAATACCGAAGAATATGGAATAAGTCTTTTATAAATAAATATAGAATATTTAAACATACATAAATTTTTGACGTCAAAGTTTCACAATTATTTCTTCTTCTTCTATTTCACTAGGGACCTAAAGGTCTTAAAGGTACACCTGGTAGTTATGGATTCGATGGTCTCGTCGGTGAACGAGGTTTGAAAGGTCCAAAGGTAAGTGTATTTCTGTAAAACAATATTATTTATTCAGAAAATAACTATATATACATGGCCCTACTTGACTAAAATGATAAACCACTTAGTAATTAATGGTAACTTGTTTTCACCCTAACAACAAGTGGTTCTGATCAAAATCTATGCTTGGAACTTCCATTCTTGGTAGAGATATCATCTAGCCCTAAATAATATTCTTTCAGTGATTAGTTGTGTTGAAGGCTGAATTCTGTTTGATGATTTCAAAAAATGTGGTAACAGTTTGTTTCAACTAGTTCTGGCATTCTTGCTCTTCATACTGCTGCGTTATATTATTATTATTATTCCCTTGGGTTCCCAGTGGAACACAGGGCCTCAACAACACACCTCCACTTTCCTCTATTTTCTGCTGTCCTCTTCAGCTGGCTAACTCCACGATTGCCCATAATCTCTCATCTCCTCCTCCCGCAACTCACACAATCTCCTCCATGTCACTCTTGCATTGACGACCCACTCGTCGCTTCCCATTGGAATTCCACTGGAGCGATGGCCTGCATTGCGCTCAATGTCATTCAACGGCCTCCTCAACGTATGCTCGACTAGATCCACCTCTATTTTCTCTTCTACATATTTGTTGAGCATTCAGCTCTCGCTTGTTGATTTGTTCCAAGCCAGAGTTTCTTGCTGTTAATTCTTTATGCCTAGCAGCCGGCGAAGATAGCATCTGTTGATAAATGTCTGTAACTGGCTGTTGGAAATCCTTTTTGTGATATGCTGGTCAAATTCCTGACCCGTAAAGAAAAGCTGACTGGCTGACTTGACATCTGTATTGAAAATCCGAAACTTGTTGTGTATGCTGAGTCAGTGTAGAAGATTTCTAAACTGGTTTCAGGTTGATAAAGGCGTTAGTATCTTGCTTCCACATTTTCATCCGTGCCGTGTGTCTGACTGAGGTTGAAACAATGCTTCTTGACCAGATAAGTGAAAGAATCGATCTCTGTCAAATCTCTAACGTTGATGGTGATTGGTGCTAACTGTCTTCTCTACATTCATCTAGAGTCCTGTCTCTGCTGCCATCCTGTTCAGTTAATTGGTTGGTTCTCCCCTGAAAGTCTTCGAGTTTGCTAGCTCGCTTGTTTTCTAGCCAGTTCCAAGCCCCTCTAAAGAGGGAGTTTTGGATGTGTAGACTAGCGGTCCTACCCCACAAAACCAATCAAACTTTTACAGAAACCTCAAAGCAAAAAACCCATTAAAAACAGCTTTGTTGGTTCATTTCTCTTCAGTGAAAATTAGAACATAATCGTTTCAATATTCATTCTAGATTTTAAGTTCTACTCTTATTAATTATCCTATAATTTCTTTAGGGTGATAAAGGTGAACCAGCTATTGTTGATGGTGTTGATGGTATGGGAGAAATGGGACCAAAAGGTGAAAAAGGTGAACGTGGTCTAAAAGGTCTTCGTGGTCGAGATGGTGATAAAGGTCAACCTGGTATAGCTGGACCAAAAGGCTATCAAGTAAGTTGAGAGATTAGTATTGAAATTAACAGGTAAACTACTTGCCTATTTTATGTTGTTACATTGACTGGACAGGTTTCATTTGGCAAGTTAAATGATAGAGATCTAGGAATGCAAATGCATCAGTGATCTTGAAGACACACTGTTCATTGGATAACGCTAGGCATGAATAAGGGAGCAAACTTCATCCCTGTCTCACACTTAAGTACTGTTTAGATAATCGGTTGATAGCTCCTTAGGGTTAGAATCAGTGTTAGGATTGAGATTAGGATCGGACATTTTTAATTGGTTGCCTCAAGGTCAGCAGTATATTCGTATCGCATGTACCGTTATTCTTTAACTTTGCCGCTTTGGTTTAATTTAAACAACAGCGATAAATACAACTGGTTAATTTGTAAGACTACAATAAAAGTTATAAAGTATTGACACATTTTTGAAAAGAATTACCACTGAATAATAAAAACAAAGCTAGTAGTAGTTGGACAAAGCCAACAACATCTAAGTTATTTATCCGAATTCAGTTCATACTGTCAGAATGAAGGAGTGTTTACAATTCTGCTAACCGAAGTGGACAATTTTATGGCACATTCTTTTTTTCGGAGTGGAGCCATCTGATTTATCTGGTGGATATTAGCGTGTTTCACAAAATAGACCAAAATGTATTAGCATAATTTCCTTGAAAATTCAAAAATATTTCTCTCCTGTAATTCCTTACATTGCACAAGTATCACCAGTATCAAGCGACATTTAAGTGTATATTTTGTGTTAATTGGCTCAAATATGCACCGTTTTAACTTATGCTTCTTTCATAGGATATTACAACTTTCATCTTTAGTACATATTTTATTTTGTTGCCCTAAAATATTGTAAAATAAAGTACCTATAGCACAAATCTACAAGTATTCAGTAGGGCATAAAAATCAATTGATTTATGCATATATATATAAGTGATATCAAGAATAACATGACCCTTTCAGAAATATTTTTATCGTTTTTATCTTTTTTTTACCCTCCAAAACAGGGAATGAAAGGAGACCGTGGTGAAGCGGGCATCAAAGGTGAAAAAGGCGATACACCCACACCAATTTCCTTACCATATGTAAGTGTACAAAGAAAAGGCATTTAAAAGATATAAACTATGATTTTATAACCATTCCTATCTTAACCTATATAAAAATGATTTTACATATAAACACACACACACACACACACACACACAAACGAACATGAAGAAAAAGAAAAGTTGATAAAAATACATACTTTCATATTTCCCACCTCTCTCCTTCCCTTCATGACAGTCAGAATTGTTAAAAGACTACCTTGACCCATAAAATAACTATCTGGCTAAAAACACTATGAAGATTGTAAACAAAACTTTTGCTTTCTAACAGATCAATTGAAATTCAACTGACAATGAATGCTGTTCACAAATTTAACTTAACCAACTATACTACTTACAAAATAATCAGTAGCATATCTTTTTTTGCATAAAATGATTATTTTTTGTTTACCCAAAATTACAAAGAAATATTTCAATGAATCATAAAAGTGCATTTTACAATTTTAGGCAGAACCTGGTGAAAAAGGTTTCAAAGGTGAAAAAGGCACATCTTATGACGAATCACCATTGATCAAAGGCCAGAGGTTGGTATATATGTATATATAATTCATAAAAAATATAACTTAATATGGGGAGTTTTTGTCACTTTTTCATTTTTGTAACTAACAGTAAATATTTTCGGCGTGTTTTGTTTATTTGTTTATTTTTGTTGTATTTCTTCATAAAGGATAGGGATAAAGGGTGTTAAAGGTCTTACTGGTCCAAGAGGTGAACCCGGCGATGAAGGTTCTCCAGGCCCAAGAGTAAGTTTAGTATATGGGATTAAATTTGTTTGGCATTTTCGCACATACTACTTATTTCATGACAAAAACAGCACTAATGCCCGTACACAATACCTGAATGTATCTGACAAAATTGTGCTGTCCTTCGACATTGAGTTACTTTTCACCAATGTCCAGCACACGGAAACGGTCTGCTTTATTTGTAAATGTAAAGATAAGATCCATCACAGTATTGGAGTACCCACAGGATATTTGAAGGAATTACTACTCAGATGCACTCTGAACGTACAGTTCACTTACAACGACACCATCTACAGAAAAAAATGGTATTGCAATGGGGTCTCTGTTGGGTCCCCTACTATCAGATTGCTTCGTGGTAGGCCTCGGGAGAGGTCCACTAAAGCCAAGCATTGACAATTTACGACTGTAGCTAGGTATCTACTTTATGTGTAGGGTCTTCAAATGATATAATTACTGATTATATGTCATCTGAAGTAATATCGTTCCATCCGTGGCACATTCCAATAACACGCCACAGTATTGTCCCTCCATCTCCTTCCAAAAATTTCTACCGATTATATATATAGACGGAAAATTGTTTGAAACTGTGCGCAAGCATAGAATGCGATTAATTTTGGTAATTAGGTGAATAAAACAATATAAAACAGAGTAAGTGCAATGATGCATTTTGATGGATAGACAATTTAGGTAGACTGGTGATATAAATAAGCCGACTATTTGATGGGACAAAGTGGATTTAGCCATTTTCTAGAGTTGATTGACGGAAAATCTGGATTTCTCTTTATGTAGCCATGCACACATTCGAAACAAAATAATTAAAATGTTAAATCTCTTCTTATCTGACAAAAAAACTATCAAAATTTTTCTTACAGGGTAGTCCAGGAATAAATGGAGTACGTGGACCTCCAGGTCCTGTTGGAGATGAAGGTTCAATGGTAAGCAAATGAATGAGTATTGCATTTCTTAACCATTCTTTTTATTTAAGTAATATCTTATGGTAGAAGATAACAGATCAGAGCTTAGAAGTGAAGTGAAGTAAAGCTTAGTTAGTTAGTTAGTTAGTTAGTTCGTTAGTTGTTTGGATGTTCAAGGAAATGAAACCATAATATATGACCTGGTGGAAACCATGATTGATGTCGGGAAATCAAATGAAATGATAAGGCTGTATATTCTGCCGACCGATGTTAGTATTCGGAAAACACTGATGTCAGCCAGTTATGTTCTGTAGTCAGACAGCGGGAATATAAATTCCTGAAGACCACTGAACATTGTAGAATTGGTGTAGCTCTGCCCCCTGCATTGGATATTCCAATTTTAGGCTGCCACAGTCCTTCTGGATACCATCTTTAAAGCCAACTTTAGTGTGGATTCTCGATGGATGATGCAACTGTCACGGACTGTAATTTGCTGCCTTCAGAAAGTTTCATAACCTTGTGTTTATTCGTGTTTTTATCGATTGTTTAGTTGACCAGGTATTTGACCTTTTTACCATGTTATCTGTCCTTTGTTGACAGATAAATTTGATGCGACCTGCATTGCTATCTCATAATTGTGATAATATTAGGACACTTTATTTTTAGCAGTAGTTTCATAGGTGATTTAGCTTGAAAGTCTCAAAATACACCCATTTAGTACTGGGTAGTGAATAAGAATCGTTTTCTATATTTAATTAGGGAAAGTTCGGCAAACCTGGAGCACCTGGCATCCCTGGACCACCTGGACGACTTGGACAAGATGGTCTACCTGGACCGCCTGGTCAACCTGGTTATCCTGGACCAAAAGGAGACAAAGGATATCCTGGTACACAAGGACCTAAGGGTGAAAAGGTTAGTCGAATGTCTTTGCAAATGATTTTATAAAGTGTATCTGATGGCTTTGTGTTTATAGGAATTTAAAAGACTAATTAATGAATAAAGAATATTCTGTTCGATAAAAATCTTCATCAAGCTTTAAATTTTATGACCATAATAATCAGAGGATTATTGTTATTAACAACATTAATACTGTTTTAAATTATATTGAATCAACCGGTACTATCGATAGATTATATGTCAAAAGCATCACCAAGAGAGAAGGAGAGATAATATGGAATAATCTAACAGTATATTGACTGGACATCAGATAAAATAAGAGAAGTAATAGGGATATCATGAATTCATAGGTTCGACAGCAGGCCACGGTGGCAATAGAGGCTGGTTGGGCCTATTCAGCATCTAGAGGCCTTTGGTGGTCTGTTCAACATCCGACAGATAATGGAGAAAGATTCTTCAATGCCAGCTACCTTTATGGCCTGTTTAGATGAGGTGACCTAACACAGGACCGTTGATGGCTTTAACAACACCCGTATTCAACCACACTCGTATGTGTGTTCCCAAGCACGAAAAGTCAAGTTCCTGGGGCGACAGTTCATACAAATGGCTCCACAAGAGCAGTTGAATTGATAGATACAGTTAGAAGTGCCTAGGTGGCCTAGGTACTTCACTTCTCAGTTTCGCAATCATAACTTGTCTGTGGATAATATAAGCTGCAGATTACGGGAATTAAAAGTTCTTTGAATTGATTTTTTCAACCTGTCGATCATTACTTCGCTTCGTACATCGCCTTTGAATTGTAGTCATTATACAGATACTGGGGAATTCTATTCTAGTCTCTCGGCCAAGTGTTGAGTGAAAAACTTTTCACGGTAGCTGCTTTCACTTAGCGTGCCGTATACAACCTTAAGTTCGTCGGCAAAGTTAAACTTTAGACACCACTGACAACCAATCAGCAAACGACCTTGAACAGACCAATCACATTAAAGAGGCATATATAATGAATGGAAATGTATATTTGTAGAAAAAAAGCATAAAAAGATAATAAAAAAGTTATAAAGAATATCTTTCTCGAACATGTGAGAGAAACATCTCCCAGTTTAGCATGGGAATGTCAATGGAGAAGTTACACCATATCCTGTACATATATTTATCCAAATGACTATAAATGAGATCCTTTTGAGATCCATTTATAGCCACAATCCTGTTTTTTATCGTCCCCAAAATCTTTCAATAGAATTTGTATGTGTCCTCGTAACCGGATCCACAAAATCACTTGAATAGTTGACTCTATGATAAATATATCCCAGAAATGACAGCGAATTGTAACCTTTCCATTCGTCAGTATGTATTATAGACCCTCTTTTTACAATCCTGTAATAATAGGTATAAGAGTAGTTGCTTTTCTATCTGCTATCCTTTCGACGAATCCCTTTCGGAGGGAGGTGTCATACAAACCTATTACCCAAATATTGTTCTCTCGCTGGCAACCACGGTTGTATTTCTTTTTACCAGAACTGTTTCATCGATATGCACGATAACGTCTTCTCCACCCAGCAAACAAGTGATTTTCTTCATTTTCCATGATGCGATGTCTCTGCAATGCTGGTACCACGGAACTGTTGACACGAGGCTATTCTCCGTCTCGGCTGCTGCTGCTCTCACCGGCTGTTTCAGCACCCAGTAGTTGCAGATATATATAATCTGGGTTAGAGAGAGATGCGACCTAGCGAAAAAAGTTCCTACGAAATATTAAAATAATCAGCTTACCCTCTCTAATACTAGCACTATCCTCCTCAAATTGCAACCGTAACCTTGTAAGAGGACGCGTTTGAAATAAATAAAGCGCTATACAACATTGAACTACGTTCGTGAACCTCATTGGATAATTCGATATCGTTCGTGAATCCCATTGGATGATACGCTGATTGGTAGTTAGTTGTGTCAAAAGTTTAACTTCGCCAGTTCGTCTTTAGTCACACCCTCTGAACAAATAACCCAGATCCTAAAGCTGTGGGTGTTTACGAAGATTCTTTTATACTGGAGAGGAAAAAAGCTGTGGAAATGTGCATATTGACCGTTCGAAGTGGTTTACTTGTGTGGATTCCTTTTTATGCTACTTTCTGGCCTTCTTATCAGTAGGACGTCTAAAAAGGCGGTTTCACCTACCTCGGGATGCTTCATCTGTGAATTTGATAGCTGAATGTACTTCACTGAATTGAGATATCAACGTGTGTACCTGTCTAAATCATTCTCTTAGAAGATGGAGGTATTATCCGTGTACCGGAAATAAATGTTACGACGGGAAACCACTCGTTGCAATCTGGGTAGGGGGGGGGGTACCATTCTATGTGTCCTCCTGTAAAGTTGACGAAACTCCCTTGAGACATGTGTAGTCACGAAGTGCTACAAAGACAGGAAAACGACAATCATTTGTGAGTAATTTGGTGGTTCTATTAAAGATGAATAATACTGAAAACTCAAAATCATCTCAAAGGTTCCATTGGACAGCTATTTAGTGCAGACTAAATAAATAATTATAATCAAGTAGAATATTTCCAAACATTGGTGGTGGTGGTGGTGGTGGGGGGCGCTGACGGTCAAAACTCTCTCAGCAAGAATCATACACCAAACAATTCGTGAAAACAGTAGAAGGTTAGAATCACCTTCATTCACTCAACACAACACATGATCAATATCATCATACACCCACAAAAAGAGAATCATTAGAATAAGAGATTAAGCAGGGACAAAGACAAATAACAAGGATTACGTCAACAGATGTACAGTCTCAGAGAAAAAGGATAAAGAAAGCAAACGGAATCACCAGAACCCGTTGATGGTAAGAAAAGGAGATCTAGCTCCTATATTGCGAAATATATTTTGGACACAGAACATAAGATTGGTGTTTATACACGTCTTTTGAACCTATGTATAAAACGTAACTGGGACTCGAGCTGCTTTCGCTGACTTACACCATCTCTGGCGTAGGCGTGGCATCCGGTTATAAACCAAGGGACGTGTGTACTGCTCAGCAGTTCGCTCCGTCCTTCTCTATGGCTCTGAAACATGGCCAATACGAGTTGAAGACATGAAAAGGTTGACTGCTTTCGATCATAGATGTCTGCGATCTCTGTCTCACGTTAGGTGGTTAAATAAGGTAAGTAATGTTGACGTTAGGCGTAGAGTGTTGGGCAAAGAGGGAAAATCAATCGACGAGGCTATAAAGTTACATAGACTAAGATGGCTAGGTCACGTGGTGCGCATGCCTAACCACCGCCTCCCCCGACGGGCATTACTAGCTGATATAGGTGCAGGTTGGAAAGGAGCCAGTGGTGGCCAAACAAAAACATGGCCTCATCAATCCATGAAATCCTTGACAGTTAAACTGAGTCAGGTAGGGAGATGCAGACTCCCGGGTTGGGGCCCTCAGGACTCTAGGAATCAATTGCTGGAGACAATAGGTGACATGGCTCAAAATCGTTGTCAATGGCCAGCGCAGATGTATTCAGTCTCTGTAATCTTTCATATTCCTTTCTACCATTACCCATTCTGTTTCACTCTTATACATGTCAAACTCTACTGATTCTCTTCACTCATCTTCTTGTCTACCTCTGTGTGCTATTTGGAACGTGGCAACTCGAACTGGTGCACTTCTGTGCCAAGTTCTATGTTGAATCTAGATTGACAGACAGACAGAACTGGGGCGTATCCCAGTGTTTGTGGAGACCCTAGCTAGTAATTGGGCAGTTCAAACCACTTTGATGCGTTCAAAGCAGCAGTTCATCATCATACACTTAACCTACCTTCCTTCGTAAACTTTGTTTTGATATCAGCCAGAGTAGATGTACCATTATCTCCGCTATTTGCTTTAGTGATCTTCATTGTTATTTTGACTTTCAGTATGTCCTTTTAGCTTGACCTTACTTGTCTATTTTCTCACCTCGTAACTCTTTATTAATTTCATACGTATATTCCTAAGAAAAGTTCATGTGTGTGATCAGATTGTTCGAAATAAGTGTTGCGTAAATACAAATTACACGATTCAGACAAATTACTCCTTCGTATTGCTTTGTCTAATAAGCACAAAGTTAGTATTAGATGGTTGGAGACAGTCAATCGGCAGGAAGCCTTGGACATAGGTTTCGTGCTAGTTGGCACTCATCAGAAAGGCTTATCCGCAACTTCCTTGAAGGAACTCATATCCCTTCTGAGATTCAAACCTGAGACATCTAGTGCAGTGCTGCAATCAGAGACGTTACCACTGAGCTATTCAGGCTCAGACTGTATTGGATATTTTTGATTGCACAATAGTCAGTAACTAGTGGGATGTGTCTAGTCCTTTCTTTGGTGCAGACTAAATTCTATCGTCAGTCAAGTTTGCAATGTGGCCACCTATTCTAGGTAGCTCACCATCACGGTGGGTATTAGATGGTTGGAAGCAATCGGCAGGAAGCCTTGACGAACAGCCTAACATGGTGGCCACATTGCAAACTTGACTGACGATAGAACTCAGTCTGCACTGAAGATAGGACTAGACGCATTACACTAGTTACTGACTAGTTAGTTGAAACATCGAAATAAGTATCAATATTGTGATTAGATCATCTTGGAAGGATTTTCCAAACAATCTTACCTGTTACGACAAATGCTGAATTCCCCTCAAATAACAAGTGGAATAACAATAAACTAGTGCCTTTTAGATTATAACAAAATAAAGAGAAAACAAACTGGGTGAAATTATAATTGTCTTTTGTGGAATCTGATTTACTGTTAATGATAATCAGTATTTAATGATAAAACCGGCACTCCATTCTGTGCTGTTTGTAGTTTCGTCTAGAAGTACTGAACTAACAAGTTTTGGAATTACTAATGTTCTCTGAACTGCTTAGTTTAATTAAGAAGTTTTCGTCGCCCCTCTGGACAAGATTTTCCTTCAGCGCAAGTTTCAGCATAAAATGAACTGTTTAACTGGATTTTAGATTTTCCCGTCAATTGATTGAACCGAAGTGCTCAGTCTCGGGTTGACATGTCGGCTTTTAGTGCAGATGCTTCGACGATGTCTGGGCATGGTCCAATCAATCGACGGGAAAATCAAAAATGTATGACCCGTTGTACAAGAGGTGGCTGGCTCTCATAGCCTAGTGGATAACGCTTTGGCGTTTGAAACTATGAGCACTGGGTTGTAGCCTCAGCGGTGGGAACATAATCACTAACTCACTGGTGAATGCAGATGACGAGTCCCAAATATGACGAAGTGCGCCTCTTGGGTGGATTCCACTGCTAGTCACCATCCACCAGTAAAATGAACTGATTCAAACTTTCCATAAAGTGAGAGAACTGCGTCTCCTGGCAACCATCTTCGTGACTGGTAGTCAGTCGATTTACACCAATCCTTGAATACCATCCGATTGTCAGTTACACAACTGGATATAACGTTGTTAAAGATAATAATATGCCCACTTAATCTTCCATAGAATATTTCAGTGACAAAAGTACAGCATGCACAAATTGTTATGAAATTATTTTAGGGTGTAAAAGGTGAAACGATTGATGTCGACGCAATGCCTGGACCTGATGGAGATATTGGTGAACCAGGTGTGAAGGGTGAACGAGGTGATCCAGGTACGGTTTTGCTGAAGTTTTATAATTCCTCATAACTTTTGTGAATATATATATATATATAATTGCATATAAAAGATATAATTTGATAATTCCTAGTGTAACATTAGGAAACACAATATATTCAGCGAAGAGGCTCTTTTCAACGAATTTATTATCAAAGTATATAACCCTACATATTTGAGGTTTTTAAGAAATTATATCATGTGAGGGTATTTAAACAAATGTGTGATTACTTAAAATGTTTATGACTATACTTATCGTTAAAAATCAAGTGTTTCGTCCTAGTTTGGGACACATCACTGTGTATTTGACCGCTAGGGTTCGAACCAAGAACTCTCGGTAGCAAGGGGAGTTCATAGATCTTCCAGCTACTGGGACTCAATCCAGTGGCTAGCCCATAAATTCCAATTTCTGGCAGTTTTCTGCGCTATATGAAAAGTTTTGCAGCAAAGAACGCTCTACTGACCGATTCAGAGAGAGAGAGAGAGATGATTTTTGAGCATACATGAAGCGTGATTACCTTTCATTTCCAGACTCATGAAGATGGCCTCCTTTGTAACTAAGTCAGTGGATTACCTATCTTTCGTGTTGTTTTTCAATAAATCTGTATTGGTAACCGTTTTCTGCGAACAGTCAGAGCTGTAAATCTTTCTTATCATAAAGTAGAGCGGATGAATTGAGTTCCTTTCCGTGGAGATAGGCACCCAACTGTAAATATATATATATATATATATATATATATATATATATATCACACAAAGTTGAACAGTCTTGTACAGCAGAAACTAGAATATGAAATGCGAACCAAACGGAGTACAACTGCACTCAAATAATGCTTCTAACGGAATTTTAAACAATCAATACTTCCCACTATTTATATGCCTCAATGAAAAATCGATTCGGCAGTCTTATATAATATTACTACTACGGCATTAATTAATACGCTTAATTTTGGTCAAGAACATTAACTGTTTTAGCTACCTTGAGTTTTGACATCTAGCAGTGAAGGATATTTTTACATAGGTTTACTGTGAATGATTGATCCATGTGACTGAACTTTTCATTTGGTCGATTACACTTCAATAGTCCATAGAGTACTGGAGTTTTGTGCCTGGATGCCTATTGATTTTCACCTCATTGATGTAAAATATCTCCAAGAATACTTTAGGCATGTTTGAATTCAACTTTTGGAATTATTTTCACTATATTTCAGTCAAAGATATAAATGTAGATATGATGGAGAAGATTTGTAGATCAGGTGGATGATTTTGATGTGGTTGTGTTCACTGAGCTGGATGGATGGTTTATTTGCGAAGCTTTCATTGCCCTACTAAGCAGCATCTTCAGCGCCCATACTTCAATTTGTTGAAGTCAGCTTTTAGATTTCTCCACGAGTTTATTAGTCATCTCTCCTGGTGATCTGAAATGGAACATCGTGATTGGTTGTTTTTGTGTGTTTTCACACCTTCTAGGTGCCTACTTGTATTGGAGCTGGTTGTTTGCCTGACTTGAACTTTGACTCTTTGTGTGTAAGGTTTCCTTCTTTTCGGTTGGTAAATTTTGTCTGTCTCAATGTGTCTATTGATCGATGATTCACTGGAATACCAGGTCAGGCTTCTAAAAATTCTCTAGCATTCTTGGTGTTTCCTCTGCTTAATATTTGAATGCTAGTTGTCTCAGTCGAATTGATGACCGTGGTTGTCTATATGTAGTGATATGAGGGAGTGGATATCATGTCTTTTGATGGCTAGCTTATGTTCATGGATACGAAGACACGAAGGGGACGTCCACTTTGGCCAATGTAGCGTTTTTCTCAGTTGCTACAACTTATTTTGTAGACGATGTTGATTTTATCTCCTTTCCTTGTTGAATCTTTTGGTTGACATAGAGCTGGCTGAGTGAAGTGATTTTGTTTGTTTGTGTGTGATGTCAATTCCTGAAGGTCTGAAGAGTCTTGGAATGATTTCTGAAATGTCCTTTACATATGGCGGGGTAATTTTCTTTGTGCTTTTCTTGGAGGCTTTTGGTTTGATAGGTTCCCGGTTTGGAGGTAAATGTTTTTTGATGAAACCCCGTGGATATCCATTCTTTTGGAAGACGTCCATGAAGTATTCTTCTTCAATCTTCCTTAAGGTGGAAGTGCTGAAATGATTCCTGGCTGGCCCTCTTGAATAGTGTTTGTATACAATTCCTTTTGTGTGCTAATGGATTAACTATCCAGCTCAGAAGAGAACACAACCACATCAGAGCTAATAAATGTATTTATCCGAAAGTACTGAGAATAGTTATAATACTTGACGCTCAATTCCCAGGGCTCTTTGACAACAAGAAAGATGGCTTAAACAATCAGTTTCTTCAGACAATGAATTCCCCCCCAGTTTGCATGAGATATTCTCTAATTAAGTAACGAAATATAATGCATAATGACTGAAAATTTCGACAATTTAAGGGCCTATTTTAAATTTTTCATCACGTTCTTCACATTACTTTGAGAACAGAAAGAAAGCAAGGATCTTGGACTTCCTACCGAAAAAACACAGCAATAGAATGGATGTCATAGCAGATTCTGGCTAATACATGGAACCAGAAAAAACTCCTTATTGTTTGAGAAGTCTGCAGCAAGAGTTAAACTCTTTGTTCATTCGTTAACATTCTTATTATTATAATGTTAATAAGTTTACAGATAGAATAAAGTTAAAAGGCTCCATTAGCAGCAAAATTATAAAACCGTTGAAAGAAGTAGATATCAGTCCTTTTTAAACAGGTAACTATTGAAAGTTAGAGAACCATTGGGAAGCCAAAGAGTACTGGACAGCTGTTTCGTCCTAGTTTGAGATCCCTCTCACCCGCTGGGGTTCGAACTCATGGTCCTTTATTTACAAAGATGACTTCGTAGACTATTCAAACACAGCGACACGCGACCTAGTGGCTAGCCCATGAATTCAAACTTCTGCCAATCGGCAAAATATTCAACGCAACCGCTAGTCAATGATATGAGTGAGTGACTGACCTCACGACTTCTCACTAGAACTCCAACTGATTTCCTGCATACACTCAGTCACTACTAGTGAGAGATATGATTCAGCTTGTAACCAATCAAATCCTCCCAATCCAACGCTTGATAATTATCGAAATGGTTTAAAAAAGTAGAATTATTTATCCTAAAGTATGTTTTAAAAGTTCATATATTTTCCTTATTTGACTTCTTCACTGCATTTCATAGGCCCATATGGACCAAGAGGTCTTCCTGGTGGACGTGGACCCCGAGGAGATCCTGGGCCTAAAGGTGATCCAGGCCCTGGTTACGCTCAGGTTATCGTTGGTGAAGTTGGAAGGAAAGGAGAGAAGGGTAAGTATTTTAAATTATTAGAACTTGACTTCTTTATGTTTGTGTCAATTATTCCTCAGGAAATATGTGCAGCGACATTATTACTGGATTCTTTTACTGAACGGAAATTCAAGTATTGGTTTGTAGGGATTTGATTGATTGGTTACAGGATTTCATCATTAGCTTACGTCGGTTAGAAAACCACTGGAAAACCAACTGGAAGTACTGAACAGCTGCTCCGTCGTAGTTTAGGACTCTTCATCAGTACGCACCCACCTCCAGGGTTCGATCTCAGGACCTTTTGGCTACAAGGCGGGCTCATAAACCATTCATCAGCCAATGGGACCCGATCCAGTGGCCCATGAATTATAACCTCTGCCAATTTACGAAATGGTGATACCTCTAGCCAATGTCTTCGGCGAGTATTTGTCCTCACACCCGACCGGCTGCACCCTACTGGTCACGACTTCTCACTAGAACTCCGGGTAACTACGTACCTCGATAGGGCCAGTCGCCAGTGAGCATCTCATCGATATTCAAGTGTTGGTTTGTAAGGATTTGATTGATTGGTTACAGTTCGTTTTCATGGGGGTCACTGAAACATTCAACGTTGTGATAAACACTTCTTTGTTATTATCGGGAAAGTAACATTTTCAGAACAGATTACACTAAAGAACTTCTCGGTAATGAGATAATACAACCTCTGAAGATGTCATCATTGATGGAGAAAATTTTCCCTGATGAACTGTCTTATTTTCTTCATGAATCAGTGGGTCTCTTCGATCTCTTAAAACGGAGCAAGAACCGTGTGACAGTCAACGAATTTGATGCGTTTCTCAAGTCTTCTGTCAAGCCTCCTGAATCGAATATGATAATATTTTTTTTAATTCACTTGCTAATTATCAGTTTTAGGCGAGAGAGAAAAAACATTGTGCTGTAGAGAGTTGCAAAAAGGCATACATTAGTCTATTTTCTTTTAAATGTGTTTTTGAACCTCTTTAGGTTTGCCTGGACTCGATGGGAAACGTGGTAAGACAGGAAGACCTGGCATCCCAGGACCTAAAGGAGAGAAAGGATATCCTGGACGTGAAGTGTATGGCAAAAAAGGTGATAAAGGTGTACGTGGATTTCCTGGACCTATTGGACCACCAGGTTAGTGATTTTCATTTATACCTTAATAATTGTGCTTTAAGAATGCTGAACAGAAATTTGCAGATGAAGTTATTATTGTTATTGTCTTTTTCAGGTGATCGTGGAGCTGCTGGTAGGCCAGGTCCAATTGGTGATCGTGGAGAAATCGGTCCAAGTATTGATGGTCCACCAGGACCTAAAGGAATCAAAGGTCAACCTGGTTTACCAGGTATACGTGGTCGTGATGGTGATCCTGGTCCTCCTGGAGAAAAAGGCGACTGTACCGTATGTCCAGATGGAAGACCTGGTTCATCAGGACCTAAAGGTTTCCGTGGTCAGCCAGGAGTGCCTGGAGAACCAGGTTTGGATGGTTCACCAGGACAAAAGGGTCTGCCAGGAGCACAAGGACGAGATGGTCTAGTTGGTATCCCTGGTCAAAAGGTAAGACATGCTTTCACAAAAGAATCAAGTGCACAGAGCTTTAGATAATATGGAATTGAGTCAGCATCATATCGAAGAACCCCCCGGATACCTGAGCAAACTCCTAAATACTTTCAGGAGTCTTCAGGACTGAATTTTGATAAAAATTCAACCTTAATCGATATGAAAAAGACTGTCATGATTCATTTAACTAGGGCGTAGCAGTTTAGAGTTTACCAACAGTAAATCAGTTCAGCAAGTTAACCCTTCATATTAGGACTGAAGGTAGTTTCACTCAACTTGATTGAGGCTAACATCGAGACAAACAAAATCAGTAGCATACAACTACTCATCTCAACAAATCAGTAGTATGTAGTCTTACACCGATTTTTTTGCTTTCTTCATTCTATCCATTTATGGGTACCAAGCAGATCATATTCTTGTAGTGATCGGAATAATTTGGTTTCCCAATGGAATCTGTAGGTGAAGATTTCACTTGCTTCGAGCTTTGTATATTTCAAGCTGCCAACTAATTTGTAAATTGTGAATTCTACTTATGGTATCACCAGTTATTCACCTAAGTAGCTCTCCAGAAATTGGTTGGTGTGAAGTGATTCGCTTCTATGAGATGAGTCCGACCGGGCGCTTCACTGTTGACCCTGGCTTCGAACGAGAGGAATAGCCATCTGGCTGGCAAGCACTGCTGGTCAATATATGACTGGTACGCAACTACTCGTCTTATGCATCAGTGGCACAGGAATAGAGTGCTCGCCAACCATACAGGAGCCGCTTTTCTCGATCCCTAGCCACCGACTAGCTCCTTTACCTAGCTAAGTCATTAATAAGACCGGTAAAGGGAGAAGATAAAAAAAAATAAAAGTAAGACCACCGCTACCGAAACTTCAAAGTCCAAGAAGCTTGAAGCCTGATGTTCCAATGGAAACGTAAAAGAATAAAATATCAACCACTTTGTCGGTGGCACAGTGGTTAGGACTCTCGCTGACCATGCATATGGTCCGAGGTTCGAGCCCACGCCAACGCACACCTGATATCTATGGTCGGCCTGCGGAATTTGGGCTACCGATATCCATGCTGAAAGTTCCATACTTGTACCAAAAATACAGTGTGGAATTAAGCTGTAATCAAAATAATAATAATAATAAATTAGTCAGTAGCATACGGTTTTATGACGTAAACATTTATTTTTATTCACAACATGAGCGGAACACAGGAGCTTCAAGCTTTCAGGTTCCAGTAGTTGTGTTGTCTTTTTTCACGGAATAGGGTTACTAATCTCACGCCCAACGTTCCTTTTTTTCCCGGGATTACTGCCGACAAAGCGAGGTTTAGAAGTGCATTAGCTGGGAATCGACTCATACCAGCTACATGGCTGATGAGTATTCTATCAGTAGAACACCGATATGTATATATATATATATGCTTGGATGATTGAAAAATTTACCAATGCTAATTTTCGAAAAATATTGATCACGTTAACTGTTTTTGAAATAATAGAAAAGATTTGTAGCTCAGGTGGATGATTTGCAATTAGTAGTGTTCTCTGAGCAGCTGGTTGGTTTAGTTGCGAAGCTTTCGTCGTCCACCTTCTGGTAAACATCCCCCAACAGCTCAATTTTTAGCTGATTTAAATTTCCCATGAATGACAGAATTGCATCTCCTGGTGACCAACCATCTTCACATATGTATTGGTCATTTTCTATTGACTTGGATTTTAAACTTTCTCGTCAGATGATTTACCTTTTTATTTAGTTGGTAGATTTGGTCTACATGTTAACGTGTTTGTTAATCACGTCCCCTTCGAATCAGAATTCAGGATCACAAATCAGCTGTGAAAAGACATCATATATATATATATATATACTCTCATATAAATGAATATAGAGAGTTATGGACATCAGTTTGACTGGGATAATGACGAAATTTTAGATAGATGAAACACCCAAAAGTGACAGGGAATTCCTAGAAGCTTGGTCATCAAACTAATATACAATTAACAAACACGTTAACATATAGACCAAATATACCAAATAATAAAAAGTAGATCATGTAACGAGAAAGTTCAAAATCCAAGTCAATAAAAACATGATCAATACGCATGTAAAGATGGTTGGTCACCAGGAGACACAATTCTGTCATTCATGGGAAATTTAAATCATTTCACTTTATGCTAAAATTGAGCTAATGTGGGATGTTTACCAGGAGGTGGACGACGAAAGCTCCACAACTAAACTAACCAGCTCAGAGAACACTTGTAATCACAAAGGTTAACTTTTAATTATGTGACCGACAATAATTCAGCCCAACTTGTCGAAGTCCCTATCAAGAAGATATCTAGCGAACTCCACTAACCGTGTAAGACATGTTACTAAACTACTCAAATACACTACAATAATTAAATCCAAATCCTAGTTCACGGCAATACACGTTATACCGTCAGCTGGATGAAATCTAGTACTTTCTGAGCTTATTCAAACTACCAAAGAAAGGAAACTTAAGTCAATGCGAGAACTGGTGCGGTATTATGCTCCTGTCCATTCCAAGCAAGATACTAAGTCGCATCATCCTGGAGAGAATCAAACAAGCCCTGGATGCAAAACTCCGACCGGAACAAGCTGGATTCAGGAGAAACAAGTCATGTATTGATCAAATCGCCACTCTACGGATCATCACTGAGCAAAGCTTGGAATTGCAGTCACCTCTCTACCTCATTCAACTTCATCGACTTTGAAAAAACCTTCAGCAGACAGTGTCGATCGAGAGGTGATTTGGAAACTACTTCGCTACTACGGGGTTCCATCGACAATTACACATCTCATCCAACAGTTGCACGACAATGCTGCATGACAAGTGATCCACAACGGAAAACTTACGGAATACTTTGAAGTGCAGACAGGAGTAAGGGAAGGCTGCCTACTATCGCTAATGCTTTTCCTGAATGCAGTAGATTGAATAATGTGACAGAGAGCGGGCAATGAGGAAACAGGCATAAAATGGACTCACAGAAAAAAAATTGGAGGATCTGGACTTTGCCGATGAGGTGAATGCCTGATTTCCCACAAACTGGAAGATATGCAAGTGAAAATCAACAAGTTGGTAGAAGAAGCATCAAAGATAGGACTCCAAGTAAACACAGAGAAAACAGAAGTGATGAAGATTCCTGGCCAACACCAACAGCAACAACAACAACAGACAACAATCAGCCAGCATAAATGGGAGGAACCTGAAAGAAACAACCTCCTTCACCTACATGCGAAGCATCGTTTCAACTACAGACGGAACTGATTAGGATATCAAAGCCAGAATCGGAAAAGTAAGACAAGCTTTCATTACTCTTAAGTTTGTGTGGAGGTCAACATCACTACACAGCATTCAAAATAACATCCGGATTTTCAACTCCAGTGTGAAGTCATTGCTGCTTACTACGCGGATCAGAGACTTGGCGCGTCATAAAGAGCATCTCCAATAAACTACAGACCCTCATCAACAGTTGTCTTCGCTCATTACTCAAGATCAGATGGTCGGAAATGATAAGCAGTAGGGATGGATCTCTGTCAATAGGCGAATCAACCCGGCAGGAACCAACTGTGCAACAAATAAGCAGGAAGAAATGGAGATGGATTCGCCATACATTGAGTAAACCATCAAGTGACATCACTAGAACCCGAAAGGGAAGCGGCGAGTTGGTCGTCAGTCCAAGGGTGATATGGAGGAGGAGGTCATATGAAGAGGACATTAAAGCGTGTGGGCAGACTTGGAACCAGGTGAAAACTCTAGCAGAGAACCGAACGCAATGGAGATGTGTAACTGAAGCCCTATGTTCCTGTAGGAACTAAAGGAAATAATTATAATAATATAACAGAGTTATTTTGTTATTGGTTGACCCTTTCTAACCAGGTATCTTATTTTCAGGGTAGTTATTGATGAAAATATACAATGATCTGTAGGAAACACTTTAGGTGGTACACACCCCAAGTCTCTGAAGCATACAGAAGCATTCACTCACCTGACGTTAGTGTTGAAAATCCTGATCGTATTGTTAAACTGACTCCAGAGTAACGAAGGACTCCCTTGCCTTTTCGATTCTAGTTTTGACAGCTTTATTCATAGTGTCTCCTGTAGTTGAAAGATCTCTGTCTTGTTGGACAAGTGAAAGAAGTGACAGTTATTGGTGCTTGTTGTTGCCGTTGACTGGTTGTTGGTTGGTTGGTTATCTGCTTCACCTCCATCTTCCTAATGTTCCAATGAAGTCCTATCTTCACTGCCTGCCTTTTCTGCCGAACTGTCGGTTCCCCCCTCTAAGTCTTCCAATTTATCTGACGTTAGACATAAATCGTCCATGAAGTCCACATCTCCTAGAGTCTCCATATCGATCCAGCTTGTTTGTATCTTCTCAGTAGCCACAGTCTTCCGTTTAGCTGCACAATCATGTTTATCATGCTAATTCTTAAATCTTTGTCACTTTGTTTATTTTACTGACCTTTCAATTTTCTATATGAATTGACTGGACAAGTAAATGTGTGATCAGACTGTTCGAAATGCGATGCGCAAACGCATCACATTTTTCATTGCCGATAATCGCTGTCTTCTAATAACACAATCCAGCTTTCCAAGTATTGATTTTGTAGGGATTTTGTTTGATTGGCTACAGGATTTCATCATGAGCTGACATTGATTAGAGAACCATTGGAAAATCAACTGGGAGTACTGGACAGACAGCTGTTTCTTCCTAGTGCTTGGGAGTCTTCAGCAGGACGCACCCACCACCATGGTTCGAACCCATGACTTCTGGTTACAAGGCGAGCTCGTGTAGCACAGTACCTAAATTTTATTCTTATGTATTGTGAAAGACTTACATGTATGAAAGCATTTGAAAAGATGAATTCGCTAAGTCAATTTTTTTTCCTTACAATCTTATCATCTAACTCATCTGTGATTTTTATCACGAAACTATAGATTTTGAAATTTCGTTTTTGTATGTTGTATATTCACAAAGAGAAAAAGTAATGCTGTTCCCCTTGAACAGGTATTCGCAAAACTTTTGTATCTACTCAATAATGAATGATTGAATGAATATAAAGTTAAAATTTTAAGAAAACGAACTCTCCTTATCTCATTACAATTGCCTCCTATTTTTTTTAGGGTGAAAAAGGTGAACGTGGAAATGATGGAGCTCCTGGACCTAAAGGTGAACCAGGTCCTGTTGAAATAGTAAATGTCACAGTACCAGAAGCACCACGTGGTGATGTGGGTCGTCCAGGTCGGGCTGGAGTAGTTGGTGAACAAGGTCCAAAAGGTTTTCCTGGTCCTAAAGGTCTACCTGGTCCAGAAGGTTCAAAGGTAAGCACTCAATTTTTAAAAGTGTCAGCATATTCAGATTTCTGTAAAAAAAAATAGGATCTCTTTTTCATTGGTTTTATCGTCATTTGTGTCTGAATGATTATTCGTGGAAACAATATCAAGCTAATTTTGGAGTTTGAAAGTCAAAAGGTTAACTAGAAAATTATAGCGACCAAGACCAACTCGTTGTAATCTGAAAGCAAGGAACCGATCTCTGCATGGTACTGTATGACTTTGCAAAACTTCCTTGGGAAATGCACAGTCAAAAAATGCTCAAAAGACAGAAAAAAGGCTATTGTTCGTCTACAAATCTAAATGATTCTATCCAACTACAATAATAACATTAAAAACTCAAATTTTCCTCATCAGTGTCGTTAGGCAGTCAAGAGAACGTTCTAGCTAAAAAATAAGTGTGGTGGGAGGGAGGTGGTTGCATGGAAGCCAAAATTATAGACAACGCAATTTACGTCAGTGTTCACGTCCCGAATCAGGGTTATGAGAAAGAAAATCTCACAAACCAATCACACCAGAGTTAGCGTGTGCAAATATGATTCGCAGATATTTGGCTTAACTTTCTAAGAAAGAATCACACGCAGTAGGGAATAACTTATAGCAAAAAAGCAACCAATCAGAAGACGTTGCTTCTCTGCTAACAATAACGCTAATAATAATGTACATAAAAAATCTAAAAATATCTGTTGATTTTCTCAGAAAACGATCTGTTGCCTGGATGGCCTTGTCTTCTGTCTTTACACAACTACTGTACAAAAAAGTTAGTTAACCAAAACTCAACAGTGAGAAGTGTATCTGAGAGTCAAGTGGAATATTCCCAACACAAGGTGGGATCAATAACAGTGTCAGCATTCAAATTAGAGATTAAATAGGAGAAAAGACGAATAATAAGGATCGATCAAGTCAACATATGAAATGCAAATTACAGAACAATGATATGGGAGAATAATGGATAATAATTACAAAAATTTATTCAGGGATTTGATTGGTTACAAGATTTCATCATTAGCTGACACTGGTTAGAGAACCACTGGAAAACCAGCAGGGAGTATTGGACAGCTGTTTCGTCCTAGTTTGGGACTCTTCAGCAGTACGCATCCACCGCCAGGGTTCGATCTCAGGACCTTTTGGTTACAAGGCGATCTCGTAGACCATTCATCAGCCAATGGGAACCAATTCAGTGGCCCATGAATTCTAATCTCTGCCAATTCACGACATGGTGATACCCCTAGCCAATGTCTTCAGCGAGTATTTGTCCTCACACCCAACCTGCTGCACCTACCCACTAGAACTCCAGGTAACTACGTACCTCGATAGGTCAAGTCCCTAGTGAGCATCTCATTGATATTCAAGTGTTGGTTTGTAGGGATTTGATTGGTGACAGGATTTCACCATGAGCTGAAATTAGTCGGAGATACATTGCAAAACCAAATAAGTAGCAATAATGTGATTAGATCGTTCCGGAGGGATATTTCGAACAGTTATTCTGTTACACAAATATGATGTTTGTAGTTCGCGTTACTATGTCGATTTTGCCTTCTCTACAGAATGATAAGACATTCTCCTGATTCAAACTTACGTGTGAAAAAAAAACCTTCTAAGTAGTGAACATACGAATGTAACTCATGAAGACGTCGGTGGTCTATCATCAAATGGTAAATGTGATTTACTTCCATGGCAGGTAGATGAAGATTGTCCATTTTGTCCCGAGTAAATAAAAATGCGGAGCTCCTCAGCCTCTTGAACTCATTCTCCTTGAACACGTCCCAACATGTTCGTTTACTTTTAGAGAAATATTTGTGTATGTGTACTGGGAATTACCGAACAAAAGTCAGAAAAATTAAAAGCGCTTCTCTTATATGCACCACTGAATCGACATGAATTGATGTTAGAGAACTACTGGAAAATCTTGGAGTACTGGACAGCTGTTTCGTCGTAGTCTGGGACTCTTCAGTAGTACGCGTTCACCGGGGTTCAAACCCAGAACCATCTGGTTACAAGGCTAGTTTGTAGACCATTGAGCCACAGCTACCCGATCAAATGACCAGCCCATGAATTCTAACTTCTGTCAATTCATGACATAGCGCGACCATTTCGCAATGTCTTCTTTGATGAGTTACTGCCTCATCTTCAACCTGCTGCACACTACTGGTCACGACTTCTCACTAGAACCCCAGGTTACTGCCTGAATAGGGCCAGTAGCTAGTGAACATCAGATTAATTTTTCAGGTATTGGTTTTGTAATAACGTCTCAGGCAAGGACGAAACAGCTGTCCAGTACTCCCAGGTTTTCCAGTAAATCTCTAACTGATGTCAGCTCATGATAATATCCTCCATGCAATCAAACAAAATCATTTCAAAACCAATACTTGAAAAATTGATGGATTGAATTTTTGATTTTCCCGTCGATTGATTGGACCGAAGTGCTCGGTCTCAGGTTGACATGTCGGCTTCTTGTGCAGAGGCTTCGACGATGTTTGGGTATTTAATTAGTATACAATTGGTGGATGGTGGCTAGCAGTGGAATCCAGGATGCGCATTTCGTCCTATTTGGGACTCGTCAGCTGGATGTACCTGCATTTCTCAGTGAGTGATGATGTTCCCACCGAGGCCCGAACCCAGTACCCATAGTTCCGAACGCCAAGGCGTTATCCACTAGACCACTTGGGCCACGAGAGCCACCTCTTACGCATCCTGGATTCCACTGCTAGCCACCATCCACCAATTGTATACTAATTAAATACCCAGACATCGTCGAAGCATCTGCACAAGAAGCCGACATGTCAACCTGAGACCGAGCACTTCGGTCCAATCAATCGACGGGAAAATCAAAAATTCAATTCAATAATTAATATGACCCGTTGCACAAGAGGCGGCTCTCGTGGCCCAAGTGGTCTACTGGATAACGCTTTGGCGTTTGAAACTATGGGTACTGGGTTCGAGCTTCTGTGGGAACGTCATCACTCACTGAGAAATGCAGGTACATCCAGTTGACGAGTCCCAAATAGGACGAAATGCACATCCTGGATTCCACTGCTAGCCACCATCCACCAATTGTATATTGATAAATTGATGTTTAGTATTATTCGTGAGGTGAAATTGTTGCCTTCAAGCAACGGTTCAAATTTAAAAAGATCATTATTACAAAGGTAGATTGACATTTTTTTGTTGAGAAACCTGTCCGCAGAATATGAATGAAACCCTGCAATAGGGACGACGCCTTCAAATTCCCTCTGTTAATTGCCGTTAGTGTTCGTTGATGGTATAAATGTTAGTCGGCTATCAGTTGTGTATACTGATTTTTCAATAAAAGAGTAGATACTTCGATAGAGAAAGAAAGAAAGACCAGATTTGTAGTATTAAATGATATCGTCATTTTATTTCACAGGCCCTCATCAACTGCTGCAAACTACCCGAAATTACAATGGTTATAAATAATAACACTTCATAATTCAATGTTTGAAAGGCAATAGGGAAAACATTATGAGATGAACGCATCCGAAATATAAGTATTACAATTTATAGTTTAAGTTACCATCAGTTTATATACCATCAAACTATGAAAAACAGGGAGGGGTGTGTGAGAGACGACAGAAAACAGAAAAATCTAATATACACTGTCAGCTTGTACGTCAACATGGCAACTCAAGAGAGTTAAAGTTCATTAAATTTGAAAACTCGAAAACTTAAAAGGAAGCAGATATTTGAAAAACTCCAATTACCAGACAACTTGTGGATACTGGCTATTCTGTCGAGACTTCTGAATCCTTTAAAATATTTAACATACAAAGGACAGCGAATCAACTACGATTTGCTGAAGCAGTTGCAATCAAACGTCTCAGACGAAAAAGAGTTCAGTCAATCTCTCACTCCCTTGGTAACCATATCACTTTCATTACACTGATTAGTTATAAACACCAGTGGGCTCAGCTCACTAACCAAGTTTTCAGATTTGATGAACGTTAAACTTCTTGAGTTGCCATGTTGACTCACAAGCTAATAGAGTTTGTTAGATTTTTCTGTTTTCTGTCTTATCTCACCCCCAAACCACGTTTTTTATAATTTGATAGCAAATAAATTGATGGTAACTTAAACTATAAATTGTAATACTTATATTTCGGATGCGTTCGTCTTATAATGTTTTCTCTATTACCTTCTAAACTTTGAAGTATGAAGTGTTATTATTTATAACCATTGTAATTTCAGGTAGTTTGCAGCAGTTGATGAGGACCTGTGAAACAGAATGATGACATCATTTTCTACTGCAAATCTGGTCTTTCTTTCTTTCTCTATCGAAATTTATCAACGGAACCAAATGTATGCAATTTTTGAAGAGTAGAAACTGTTAAACGGAAATCTAGAATACCTAACTAATTTTATCACTTCTCAGTGTTGTCCAGATAGTGTGTTACTCCCCTTGAGTGTACATCAATCGTTATGTATTCTCACAGACAGCCAAACAGGGATATCGCATCGCTACTTTCAAACTAAAAATTAGCCATCTGTAATCAAAGATGTGAAGCTATTGAAGTGAAGATAGAAGTAAGATAAGGCCATCTGTCTGCTTTCACCGATGATATTCCTGACTGTGGCAGACTAGATTATGTAGCACAGCGTATATGGAGAGAGAGATAGAGAAGACAGGAATACGTTGAACCGACAAGAAGTCTATAGAAGATCTGGACTTTGTGAACCTTTTATGTCTAATGTCACATAATTTGGAAGACTTAAAGGCGAAAATCAATAAGTTGGCAGAAAAGGTAGAGAGTGAAGACAGGACTTCAAGTAAGCATTAAGAAGACGGAGGTGACGCAGATAATTAACCAACCGATCAACCCCAACAACAAGTACCAATCAGTTTGAACTGACAAAATTCGAAAGAGGTCACTTCCATCACTTATTTCGGAGGGGCGTCATCTCAAATACAGGCGACACAAATGACGATGTCACAGTCAGAATCGGAAAGAAAAGCGGACCTTCATCACTCTAAAATCAATTCGGGAATCTTATGTACCCAGTATAAAGAACGGGATTCAGATTTTCAACAACACTGTTAAGTTGGTCGTCCAACGCTCCCATATAATTTGGAGACTTGACGTGCCATGAAATGCTTTTCCAACAAGCCACTGTGGACTTTTGTCAACACCCGTATTAGCTGGCTCTGCAATAAAAATTAGGTGTCTGATCTAATGGAATTAGCTCCAAGAAACTCTAGCGACAAACGTACCAGTCAAGAAACTGTTATTCAGCAAATATGACGAAGAAAACGAATTGATCGGATATCCACTGAGATGACTGCTAAGTGACATAGCGCGCCAGACCAAAGAGTGGAACCAGAGTAAGAAACGACTAGTCGAACATGACCGGGGCGGTGATATCGAGGAGATCGTCTAAAGGAGGACAATAGAGTTCATGCGCAATCGTGACTTATCGTCATCGTCCTTACTAAGGGACTCCTCCAAATGACATTTTCCTCTCCATTTAAACTTCCAACTTTTATTTCACTCAGTACTACACTCCTTCTTGTTAAGAATCCTTAGAAAGATTACATGTATGTATATAATTAATTGAAATCGCCTATCTCATCTTCAGAGGGGAACTTTCATCATGGTAATCTTTGTATTTACTTGCAAAAGGGTGATACAGGTTTACCAGGGTTACCAGGCTTCAGTGGAACCGTTGGAAAACCGGGAAGACGTGGTGAACCAGGTCGTGATGGAATTGTATTTGATGCCCAGAAGGGCGCTCCAGGTATTCCTGGTCGAGACGGCATCAAAGGTGAAAAAGGAGAGAAAGGAGACAGGGGTAAGTAAATTTTCTAAGAGGAAAAAATACGTAACATAACAACAAAAGTAATTATTACTATTATTGATCATCTTGTTTTGTGTACAACCTTTCATGAGATGGCGCCATATCAATCAGTGACTGACAGAAACTGTAAATTATTCGCCAGTGATTCATGAAAGCCAGCTGGTTATGTAATCATTTCACTTGCTTACAGTTCTGGTTCCTCTAACTTAAGGTATAGCGATAGGTTATTACTGAGCAGTTACAAACAAGAGTAAAACAAGCGTCTTGAATTCCTTCGTATTTATTAGTTTCAATATAGCGAAAATATTCATTCAGACATATGTAAAACACAAAATAATTGAGCAAAGAATGCCCTTTCCGATAATGCCTTCTTCTCGCCCTACAATTATATATACATACGTTTATATACATAGAATATTCTGGAATAGTAGTCAATAACAATATGAGTGTTTTATAAATAATATCGATCTGTTAAGTAAGATCACAATGGAATTACAGTTCATTAAAGATGCTTAAATAATAATAATAAAGATATAGTAACAAATAGAAATTTCTAAAAAAGATTGGGGATCATTCAAACCTAGAAGGCCAAGATAAGGATAATGTCTGAATTAGGTTCTTTAGGACGCACAAATTAGGCTTCTTAATGGGGATCCCAACAGCCAGTCTCAGTAATATGTAGTAAATGAACTCTTAAGGCGAAGTTAAGATTTGTGCGGTTAATGACTTCGAAAGCCTCGTCGACACTGCTCCACAGGAGCAGTTACATAGGCCATACAATTAGGCGTGTTTCTCGTCGGGTTTCTAAACATCACACTGCCTAGCAGTTAAGTATATGACAAAGAAAATCTATTCGCAATGCTATTCTATCTCATCTTGTGTATGCGACAGAACACAAGATTGATGTTAAAGAGGCAGCTTTCAAAGTCATTTACCGCATACCAACCAACAAATTTTTAACTTCGCCTTAAGAGTTCATTTAATACATATTACTGAGACTGGCTGTTGGGATCCCCATTAAGAAGCCTAATTTGTGCGTCCTAAAGAACCTAATTCAGACATTATCCGTATCTTCGCCTTCTAGGTTTCAATGATCCCCAATCTTTTGTAGAAATTTCTATTTGTTACTATATCTTTATTATTACTTAAGCATCTTTAATGAACTGTAATTCCATTGTGATCTTACTTAACAAATCGATATTATTTATAAAACACTCATATTGTTATTGACTACTATTCCAGAATATTCTATGTATATAAACATATGTATATATAATTGTAGGGCGAGAAGAGGGCATTATCGGAAAGGGCATTCTTTGCTCAATTATTTTGTGATTTAATAGTTTGTCACAAAATTTATTTTTAATAATGTTAAAATAGGACAGTTTTAGTATTTCTCTATTTTCCTGAATAATTCGAAATTCGAGAGAAAAATGTAGTGAAAGCCATAAGAGAATGAAAAGGAGACTTGTAAACTGCTTGAATTAGATTGAAGCAGAAGTCATAGGCAACCTGTTAGTCCTTTAGTTTAAGAAGACATCGTCAACAGTAACTCAGCCTAATGGGAATCCTTGCCTTCATTAACTGATATCTGCGGATACATATTTAGGTAATATTTGATAGAACAAGTTATTCTTTATACAATAAACAATCATCAGTACTCATCTAGCTTTCGAGAGCTTTCATGAACACACACACACACACAAACGAAAATCGCTCAAACAACAGTCTGATAGAAGAGGCGTTAAATATGGAATGATAGAAGAATTTATTCTCTTGAAATGATATGACGGCGATGAACCTGACTGGTACGCTAATATGTCTATTTGTCAGTTGTGCTTTCCGATTCACTGAACCACGTAAATATTAAGTGACAAAGACTGTCCTGTGACTGTAAGATTTTGTACTGTACATTTATAAGGAAAACGACAGGTTGTATTTGTACATTGTCTTTACAACAATGAAGTCGACCTCACAGCCGTGAGAAATGATTGATAACACAAGTCACAATGTGCTTGAGAAAGGGTGATGTACTGATTTTATGCGGGATCCTATCAACTTCACCCCGTGAAAACTGTATGACTGTCTTTTGGATCTGACTGGAGAAGTTTTGATTTTTCTACGAAGAATTTATTCTCTTCAAGTGAGCTACCCAAAATTGGAATGACTCCAGAAGCGCCATATTTTTAAATTTAGAGATAACGTGTTTTTTTCTTTAAATGCCTAACTGTGAGTAGATTTATTTTACATGTGTACATATTTTTCGAAATTTCCCATCAAGGTATGGACAATATTGTCGATCAAATATTTGAATATATCAAAGGTGAAATGGGTCCGAAAGGATATCCAGGTGACAAAGGATTATCAGGATTTCCAGGGGAAAAAGGTAAATTTCTGTCCATAAAATAAGTACAAAAACTGTCGTGATATGTATATATATATATATATATATATATATATATATAATTATTATTTCCTTTAATTACCAGAGGAACATAGTGCTTCAGATGCGCATTTCCATTGCGTTCGGTTCTCTGCTAGAGTTTTCACCTGGCTCCAGGTCTGCCCACATGCTTTCATCCCCTCTTCACATGACCTCCTCCAAGTTACCCTTGGATGACCAACTCGTCGCTTCCTTTTCGGGTTCCACTCGAGAGATGGCCTGGCGTGTGATGTCACTTGATGGTTTCCTTAGAGTATGACCAAACCATCTCCATATCTTCCCGCCTATTTGTTGCACAGGCGGTTCTTGGTTGGTTTGCTCCCACAGGTCCCTATTGCTGATCCTTTCTGGCCATCTGATCTTGAAGGCAGCTGTTGATGAAGGTCTGTAATTTGTTCGAAGTGCCCTTCGAGATGCGATGGACAAGTCTCTGATCCGTATAATGACTAGCACTGACTTCACATTGGAGTTGAAAATCCGGATCTTATTTTCGATGGTGAGTGCTGTTGACCTCCACACAGATTTGAGAGTAATGAAAGCCTGTCTTGCTTTCCCGATTCTTGCTTTGATATCCTAATCAGTTCCGCCTGTAGTTGAAACGATGCTACCCAGGTAGGTAGAGGAGGTTGTTTCTTCCAGGTTCCTCCCATTTATGCTGGCTGATTGTTGTCTGTTATTGTTGTTGCTGTTGGTGTTGGCCAGGAATCTTCATCACTTCTGTTTTCTCTGTGTTTACTTGGAGTCCTATATTTGATGCTTCTTCTGTCAACTTGTTGCTATTCACCTGCATCACTTCCAGTTTGTGTAGAATCGGACATATATCATCTGCGAAGTCTTTGCCATAGAAGTAGCACTCAGAGTTTCGAGTTCACGTAATATCACTTCAAGGTCTCTTCAGCGTATATCCTTTTGCTCTTGCATATTTCATGGACAATAGGGTAACAGCTGGTTCAATGTTATAAATTCTTGTTGCTAACTGTTCTCAGCCATCTTATATTCAGTATGGAGAAAAATGAATAACCCAGCGTTTGCTCGATTCCACCTGCTTGGCAATACGCTTCCTTCGACTGTCTTTTGAGAGTTCCATTTGCATTAATCTCTTCTAGAATAGGGACACAGGCTGTTGTACCCACACCGGTTTTGTTTCAGTTGCTATTTTGTTGTAAAAGTTTTTTTTCTTTCCATCTTAGCAGCATTATTTAATTCTTTGTCGAGTGAGTTAAAGAGTGTACTCAACTTCTACTTTCCACGTTCATACCTACACTCCTCCATCTTCTCCCCCTAACCACCCTTCTCTCCTCTCCTGTTCCCAGTTTCCATGTGTGCGTAATGGCCACTTCTTGTCCTGTCTCTTCATCCTGCTTGAGATTTCCATACGGATGTGAGTACGAAAGTTGATAAAAGCTGAATTCATTGTTTATAAGGAAGATATACTTTTGATAGATAAAGTAGCTCTCTTAATACTGTTCACACATTAACAATACACTAACTTTTGCAACTTTTGACCCAAAACATGTTAAAATACTGTCTGAATTTTATCCGCTAGACATGGTGGTGTAATAGAAGAAGACAAGAGACCTGGTATCGGAATATTTACTTGCAGTTTGATATACACATACAGGGAAAAAAGAGAAGACGTTCAGAGAAGACACTCTTTTTGACGGCAAATTCATTCACATAGCTGTACAATCGCATTTATAAACAATTATTATAAAGTGTATACATGAAGTTTGTCAAGTTTAGATAATTAATCAGGTAATACAAGAATGATCTAATATAGAAACAAGGTTAATTAGACAGCAACTAAAGTAAGATTGAGTTAGTAACTTCGATGACGTAATATAATTGACTGAAATGTTTCATCTAAGGTCAGGATAGCATCAGAGGTAATTACAGGCTGAGAGTAAGTGGGGTAGCGAGTAATTGCATTTAAATTAGAACTAAAATTGAGCAAATAAGCTGGATGACGAAACATAAATGACTAGAAACTGAACGTTGGTCAAGTCAGTAACAGTGGTAATGAGGTGTCGAAATTAAATCGAGTGGGGGGTAGAGAACAGGAAAGTTTAAAATGTGAAATATTACAATTGTAAAGACAAAATAATACTAATGAAGAAACAGAAAGGAAGAAATAGAATTTATCTGTTGGATATAAAGATAGATGACATCCATTGCAAGTGTAGTGATTGAACGAACTTCCTCTGTACGCAGAGTTCAGGACTTAGCAAGTGAATTGCCACTACTTCTTCAGTTTGAAGAAGTTTGACTTACACAATCTTAGGAAGACTGCTGCATATTCCGTAGACGACGTTTAAGTTTGTTCGAGGTGTCGTTTGGTGTCCGGAATCTAACGGATGCTCTGATATAGAGCTGTGGGGGGCATCATTTTTCTTCTTTGTAAAACCATACGGCTAAATGTTCGGTGATAAGTTTGGATAGCGAATGCTGGGTACGGCCGACATACCTGGCTGCACATTAGCAAGTGAATTGGTAGATACACGTTGATGAGTCCAGCAGTTCATATGCATCAAAGGTTACGTGGAGAAGATTAATCGTAGTTCAGCTGCAAAGTCATGTATTGATCGAATCGCCACTCCACGGATCATCACTGAATAAAACTTGGAATGGCAGTCACCTCTGTATCTCACTCAACTTCATCGACTTTGAAAAGGCCTTCACCAGACAGCATCGATCGAGAGGTGGTTTGGCAACTACTTTGCTACTACGGGGTCCCATCGACAATTATACACCTCATCCAACAGTTATACGACAATGCTGCGTGCCAAATAATCCACAATGGGAAACTTACGGAAGCCTTCGAAGTGAGGATGGGAGTGAGGCAAGGCTGTCTATTGTCGCCAATGCTTTTCCTGATTGCAGTAGATTGGATAATGTGACAGACAGCTAGCCGGGCAATGAGGAAACAGGCATAAAATGGACTCACACAAAAAGAGACTTGGATGATCTGAACTTCGCCGATGATATATGTCTGATTTCCCACAAACTGAAAGATATGCAAGTGAAAAGCAACAAGTTGGAAGAAGAAGCATCAAAGATAGCACTTCAGGTGAACATAGAGAAAACAGAGGTGATGAAGATTCCTGCGCAACACCAACAACAACAACAACGGACGACAGCCAGCATAAATGGGAGGAACCTGGAAGAAACAACCTCCTCTACCTACCTGGGTAGCATCGTTTCAACTACAGGCGGAACTGATTAGGATATCAAAGCCAGAATGGGAAAAGCAAGACAGGCTTTCATTACTCTCAAGTCTGTGTGGAGGTCAACATCACTCAGCATCAAAAATAAGATCCGGATTTTCAACATTAATTTAAAGTCAGTGCTACTCACTATATAGGTCAGAGACTTGACGAGTAATAAAAAGCATCTCAAACAAACTTCAGACCTTCATCAACAGTTGTCTTCGCTCAATACTCAAGATCACATGGCCGGTCAGAATAGATCAGCAACAGGGATCTCTGGCAATGAGCGAACCAGCCAGGAACCGATTGTGAAACAAATAGGCAGGAAGAAATGGAGATGGATTGGCCATGCATTTAGGAAATCATCGAGTGACATCACTAGACAAGCCCTCGAGTGGGACCAGAAAGGGAAGCGGCGTGTTGGTCGTCAGTGCAAGGGTGACTTGGAGGAGGTGATGTGAGGAGGAGATGAAAGCATGTGGGCAGACTTGGAGCGGAGCGAAAAAGTTATCAGAAAACAGAAGGTAGTGGAGACGCGCGGCTGAAGCCCTACGTTCCTCTAGGAATTAAAGAATATAATAATAATAATAATATGTCCTGTGACAAAATGCTCTGTGAGCTGAAGTACAAGCCATTCCATTATAATGATATACCTGCTTTTTCTCTGCTTCAAGAAGTTTACGATATCGATCGAGTTGAAAGTCAATTGTAAGATGTTCAGAAGTAAATTTTGAGAACCAAGGAGATAACTCAGGAACAATTATCTCATGTACTGGAACACACTGCTATCCACAATCAGACCTCTTCTCAAAAAGACCTTTGTTTAAGAGGAAAATTAACTTAACTGCAGTGAAACACATTAATGACGATATTTCACCCTCACGTAATTGAAAAATGCTTCACAATTACAATGAAGGGTATCAATTTACAAGTTTCACGGTTATCAAAACGGTTTCGTCTGAATGAACAACGACATGCACTCACCTCCCATTTAATAATTTACAAGATAAATACAAGTAATACTATTAAAACATTTCAAACCTAATCCTTACATTAATCCTAATCCTAACGACAAAAACTTAACCCTAACATGCTATCAATCCATTTTTCCGAACAGTACTTAAAATCGAGATCAGTATGAAATTGCACCACCCCCTCCCTGTTCATGCACAGCGTTCATACTGGTGCTGTGTTAACGGCAGATTCTGTAATCCAACAAACAATGTGCGTTCTACACCGTTGGTGAGTTTGCACTGTGTGGCAGCCATTCATTCTATAGGTTAACCAAGAAAATAACAAAATTCCCTACAAAACCAATACTTGAAAATTAATCTGATGCTCACTAGCCACTGGCCCTATTCAGACAGTTAACCTAGGGATCTAGTGGAAAGCCTTGACCAGCAGGGTGCAGAAGGTTGAAGATGATGCAGTAAGTCATCGAAGAAGACATTGCGAATTGATTGCGCTATATCGTGAATTCCCGGTAGAAGTCAGGTTTCATGGAATGGGGCTTGGGTCGGGTCCCAGTGACTCAATGGTCATTGGTTCTAGCTTTGACAATGGATGCATACTGATGAAGAGTCCTAGACTAGAACGAAACAGCTGTCCAGTACTTTCAGCTGACTTTCCAATGGTTCTGTAATTGATGTCAACTCAGAATGAAATCCTCCAATAAATCAAATGTCACTTAGTTGAAGAAGGCACTACAGCTTATACTGATAACGCTTTCTAATTGCATATTATCGAATTTTTCAGTTATTGGTTTGGAATTGAGTGATGCATATGTGAGTCACTGGCATCTCTCTTTTATCTGCTTGTTGTTTAAAACCAGCACTATCGTTTTTCACTTTGTTAAATGACACAAAAGCAAATTTATCAAATGAAAACTAAAGCAAAACTGTTCCTCAGTCAAAGACATTGTGCTTTCTTTAACTAGCTTCTGACTATATTAGAAATTTTAGCACATTTCTACCTTTATTTAATCGATATTTATGCATTTTGGTATGAATCACCATGTATGGGGTCACCTTGTTCTAAAAAATGGAAGCAACTTCATATTTAATTATGCCTACTTTGTTTCTTTTTTCGTTCAATTTTACTTTTTTTTCTATTTCGTTCTTATAGGTAGAGAAGGCGAGAAAGGTATTCCTGGAATACCTGGAAAACAAGGGAAACCAGGTTTTCCTGGTCCACAAGGAGCTCCAGGTCAACAAGGTGACAAAGGTTTTATTGGACCAAAAGGGCCTAGAGGCATTCCAGGACCAGCTGGTGGACCTGGAATTAAAGGAGCTAAAGGTCTTCTAGGTCCTAAAGGTTTTCCTGGAAGTCCTGGTGATATGGGTGAACGTGGGCCTCCTGGTTTGCCTGGCACTTCAGCAGTTGGAGAAAAAGGCGAAGAAGGTACACGAGGTCTCCCTGGTCCAGTTGGTAGAAAAGGAATACCAGGAATTAAAGGAGAGAAGGGAGTTAGGGGCGTTGATGGACTTCCTGGACTAAATGGACCGAAAGGAGAAAGAGGAGATCAAGGACCGAAAGGTGACATTGGAGAACCAGGTGAAATTTATCAAGGAGTCAAGGGGCCTAAAGGTATAAAAGGTGAACGCGGTCGACAAGGCATTGATGGACCTAAAGGAGAACCTGGAGAAGACAGATTCCCTACAGTTGCACTGAAAGGTGCTCCTGGTCAGCCAGGACCACGTGGGCCTGAAGGACCGAAAGGATTCCCAGGAAGTGTAGGCTTGCCTGGGAAAGTAGGCCCGATGGGACCTAGTGGAATTCCTGGACCTCCAGGTGACAAAGGTGATGCTGGCTTGCCTGGTCAATTTGGCCCTAAAGGTTTACCAGGAGAACCTGGAGATGAAGGCCCAGATGGACCACGAGGAGAAACCGGTGATGAGGGACCAAGGGGTGTTCCTGGAGCGGCAGGACCAAAAGGATTACCTGGACTAATGGGTCCCAAAGGACTTCCAGGAGAACCAGGAGCTGCAGGAGTTGGACTTAAAGGGCAGAAAGGTTTACCAGGAATTAAAGGTAAGATATTCATACCGTTGCATTAGAGTAACCTAGACCTTTTGTTTTACTATAAATATATTAAATACAGCTCATTTCGAGTATCTAAATAGTACAATTTCGTTTAACTAGTTAGATGTCCGAGGTACTTTTTATCTATCCCAATAGAAGAACATTAAAATAAAACTATCCCTCCTAGATTTCCCACTTAATCCACCTTTGTAATATCCATGCAAAAGTAAAATAATGCTTTTCAATAAGTGAGTAACATTTTGCCACTTAGTCAAATGAGCTGCTATTGTACACACCCACCGGGCTCGAACCCAGAACCTTATGGTTACAAGGCGAGCTCGTAGACCATTGAGGCACTGGAACCTGATCAAATGATCCTTAAATTCTAACTTCAGCCACATTGGGTCCCAGTGGCTCAATGGTCTACGAGCTCGCCTTGTAACCAGAAGGTCCTGGGTTCGAGCCCCAGTGGGCGCGTACTGATGAAGAGTCCCAAATCAGGACGAAAGAGCTGGTATTGCTCGAAAGACTTGAACAGTAAATAAATAGACTGTATAATATAGGGTAATTTCATCTATGTCGCCAGTTGAAATGAACCCCGTCGCCGATTTATTATATACCTGTCGCATCAACAGTTGATATGACCTGTTGGTGACTTGACTAGGCCGGCGAAAAATAAACACTCTGATTGGTTGACCATTTAACCAAGGTCAAGGTAAGAAAAAGGTAATGAAATTTTACAGTCACATGATGAATTATGCGATAATTACTATTTTAAGCCAATTCCTACCAGTAGTGTATTCCTTGGTGTAAATCGACCAGGTAGTTCAAGTTTCGACCTCCGGAGGAGGCCTGCCTAAAGTTCGCTTAACTAGAAGTAAGCTTGGTAGAGGTGGAAGATTAGGATATGGAGTTACAAACTCCTCCCCGCAAAAAACAGTATTGGTAGCAAAACTTCCAAATTCAAACTTGAAGCCCTATGTTCCACGGTGGGAGTGCAGAGGAACAGAATCCAATAATAAGTAATAAATCATGATGTAATGTGTTAATTCAGCAGGATAGTGTGAATTTAAATATTAAGTTAATCAGCAAAGAGTAACTGTGTTTAACTGCTTGAGAGATTGTACCCGCTTTTATTGATTCCCTTTATGTACTGTAACCGTACATGAGTGCTATGAATAGTTTAATAATAGAGTTTTTTATTTCATTATCACAGGTGTAAGGGGTTTACCAGGTGAGCCTGGCGATGATGGAATACCAGGCAGAAAAGGTCTTCCAGGTCTAGCTGGTCGAGCAGAAAAAGGTGAAAAAGGAGAGAAAGGATTAAAGGGTGCACAACCACCTCCAGGACCTAAAGGAAGACCTGGTCAAATGGGTTCAATGGGTGAAACAGGTGATCCTGGACCTGTAGGTCCTATTGGTGAGAAAGGAAATCGTGGAATTCCTGGACCAGCTGGACGTCCTGGTCGAACTGGTGCAATCGGTGAACCTGGCGACTCTGGACCAAGAGGTCTACCAGGGCTGCCTGGACCACTGGTAAGATGCATTTTTGTCTTTATCAAAACAATGCAGAGATAAATCTGCTTTAATATATATGTGTGTAAAACTTGAGCATCGTGGTGTGGTATGTAATTCTCTATATTAATGTTTTACTAGATATATCACGCACAATGGGTGAAATGCACAAAACAGTGGCAACACCAACAATAGGGAATCTAAATCCTCATCAGTAGTACTTCCATACAAAGAAAGAATCCCCGAGACAATTACTTATGATTTTTAGTAAAGCAGGAATAAATATGTTGTTCAATTCCCCCCAAAATCCAACTTGGAAGCAAGCTTTGCCAGTTAAAGGATCCTGCGGAACAGCTAATTGAACAAAACAGCTTAGTTTATCTAATACCCTGCTGCAATAATTGTCAGGTAATATATATATATATATATATATATATATAGGTGAAAAAAGTAGAACAGAGGCAGTCAGACTAGCTGAACATAAAAACTTAGCAAAATCTAGATAAGATAAGATATCTGGAAAATAGTTCATCTATATCAACCACTACACGCAATTACACACTACCATACAATAGGATGGATGGGATCCTATGAAAGTTTTAAAATCCAATGTATCAGCAGGGTGGAGGTAAAGATTGATAACTGACTGAGGCTTTATTTATCGAATCAACTGCAAATACGTGTAATAAGAATGATTCAACACCTGTCCAGTCGGACATCTAGAAAATTCTACTACCCCAACGACGACAAATAGGAAAGGATAAGGAAGACTATAAACCGGAGGTTTCGAAGTTGTGTGATTATAATTGACGATATGATTATGAACAATAATTAATTGTGTTCGAAACTGTGTCATCCAGTAAGTAATACTCTTTCACTGACAGTGTGATACATCTAATAAACAAACTAATATGGAAGTAAATGTGTTTTACCCAACTATATATTTGATGATTAATAAAATCCAAATAAATCCGCTGAAGAATCTGTGGCTTACATAGCGAAACGTTCGGAAAAATCTTGTTTTGATTTTATCTTACACACACTGGGTGCGTACTGATGAAGAGCCCCAAACCGGGACGAAACAACTGTCCAGTACTCCTTGCAGGTTTTCCAGTGGTTCTCTAACCGATGTCAGCTCATGAATAAATCCTCTATCCATTCCTGTAATTGAAAAAAATAAATAAAAGTAAGTGGGCTGTAAACTTACGAAAGCCAAATTTATGTTACCTACTTAAATGCTACTGTATATTCGGCTATTGTTTTACAACCAGATTTACACATTCAGGAGACTGTAAAATTTGACGTCATCTTATGAATCAAAATATCAAGCGGAAACTGTAAATGTTTCTATATTTTTCTTTTAGTTAAATAACAACGCTGTTTTTAATGTTTTGTATAAAATAATTACATCAAAAGTTAAAGAATAGCAATGTAAGGACGCAATGCGGACGCACCGCTGACCTTGAGGCAACCAATCAGAATAACCAGTGTATTTTACATTAAAAATGTCTTTTGTTTACTGGAAATTAGACAGTTAAAAGTTATGATCACCATAAAATGACCTACTAGAAAAATAGAGATAATAAAAATAAAGTACCCTACCATAATACTAATTCTAACCCTAACCAGTTAACCAAACTGCACTTGAAATGAAATTGGGATGAAATTTGCCCCACAGTTCATTCAAAGCGTTCACAGTAATGCTATAATAATAATAAGTACCGTTATCGATTGGATACTCTGCGTTCGCACTCCCAGATCGCTATACTTTAACTTCACGACAATCAGAAGTGGAAAAGTTCCTTCATGGTAAAAAGAACATCTAATTCCAATCTGATGCACACACAGTTTTATTGTTCGCAGCAGTTGATTTTACTTTGAATGTTTGATGTCATTTTGACTTCTCGCTCTCTACAGTCTACCGTATAATCCAGTCCAATGCAATTAAGAATATCATCATCATCGTCTTACCCCTGTATGCACTTTGAACGCCTCACTGAGTTTCCTGTTGTGGATCATCTGACACGTGGCATTGTCATGTAGCCAGCTGTTGAATGAGGTCGATAAATACTTGGGTAATGCATACCGTAGTGTTGAAATAGTTTTCAAATTACTTCTCGGTCAACGCTGACTGTCGAAGGCCTTTTCGAAGTCGATGAAGTTGATGTAGTGAGAGGTTTGACTGCCATTCAATGTTTTGTTTTGTGATGATGATGCGCAGAGTCGCAATTTAATGAGCACATGATTTGCCTTTCCTGAATCCAGTTTGTTCTGGTTGGTGAGGCAGAGTTCTGTATCCAGTATACGCTTTATTCTCTCCAGGATGATGCGACTGTGTACTTTGCTTGACGTGGACAAGAGGATTATTTCACCCCAGTTCTTGCAAAGTGAGGCGCGGTTCGCCCTCCTTTGGCAGTTCGATAAGGGAGCCAGACTTTCTGCCAATCCGTAGGCACCTTTCCTTCTTTCCAAACTCTCTTGCAATAATGGCGTGAGAACATCTGCCACAGTCTCTTGGTCCATTTCCAGTGCTCCGAGGTCGGGGATTCCGTCTGGTACTGCTGCCTACGCGGTCAGCATTCAGTAGCTTGACCGCATTTGAGATTTCTCCTTTCGTTGGACGATCGGTGCGCACTAGCAGGCAGTTGTGTTGGTGGTATTTTTGGGCGAGTTGCCGCTGGTAGTTGATTTAAGAGCCCTTTAAAGTGATCAGCCCATTGCTTGATTTGTTCCTCCTCCTTGATGATCAGGTTCCCTCGAGCATCTTTTCTTGGTTTTATCATCTGGGTTGATCTCTTCTCGGATAGAGACTTGGTTATCTGAAATAGTGTCCTTAGGTCTGTTTTACCTGCAGTCTGTTCTGCTTCAGTTGCCACCTAGTGTGTCTTAGAATTGTCTTTTATCTTTCCTAGCACTCTTCTTCAATTCTTTATTCAGTGCAGTGTATGTTGAACTCAACTTCTCCTACTATTGTCCATCTTTGCATTGGCTTATCTTCTATTTCACCAACCCTTCTCCCCTGTTGGCTGTAGAGAGTTATTTCTTGTCTTGACCCTTCTTCCTTCCTGAAATAGCTGTACACATTTCTTTGAACATCACTTTTAGAGAGTTCCAGACTTCTTTCACACAGGTTTCCTCAGTGATGCTACATACTATCTTCGACTTCGTACTGACGACTGCAATGAAGTTATCTTTGAGCCTTCATTTTTCATGAACAAAGCTTACAATTTCACACAGAAATGAAGCATCCTAAATGCTGATACTTAAATTCACCTTATTAGTTATGGTCAGTGGACATATCCACAGAGATAACACACAAAACCGAGCCATTCATAGGACACATCTGAAGTTTCACTCAGTCAGAAGTTTAATCACAAACAGACTCCTTTAATTGTATCAAAATATACACTCAACGTATCTATCAGAGGAAATGTGCACACTTTGCGTTTGAAAAGAATCAGAGTTCACCGGATCTTGTGTAAGCTGTCAGGTATGAATCATTGTCAAATATAGCTTTGGTATTTCTGTCTGGTTGAAATAGGAATCCAAGTGCAAATGTTATACCTCACCTGTCCAATATTCTGGTTAATTAAGCGATATAGTGAAAATATTCATTCAGACATCTATAAAACACAAAATAATTTAGCAAAGAATATATTTTTGCGATAATTTTCTCTTCTGGCTCTACAATTACATATACGTTTATATACAAAGAATATTCTAGAATAGCAGTCAATAACAATATTAGTGTCTTCTAAATAATTTGTTAAGTAAGTAATAATCGATTTGTTAAGTAAGATCAATGGAATTAAAGTTCACTAAAGATCCTCAAATAATAATAATAACAATATTCAAGTGTTGGTTTGTAGGGATCTGACTGGTGACAGGATTTCATCATGAGCTGACATTAGTTAGAGAACCACTGGAAAACCTGGGAGTTCTGGACAGCTGTTTCGTCCTAGTTTGGGATTCGAATCCAGGACCTTCTGGTTACAAGGCGAGCTCGTATACCATTAAGCCACTGGGACCTTATCCAATGGTCCTTGAATTCTAACTTCTGCCAATAATAATAATTACTATTATCTACAAAAGGTTGAGGATCATTTGAACCTAGATGGCCACGGTAAGGACAATGTCTGAACTGGCTTTTTTGGACACATAAATTAGGCTTCTTAATGTGGATCCCAACAGCCAGCCTCACCAATATGTAATAGACGAACTCTTAAGGTGAAGTTAAGATTTGTTGGTTGGTGTGCGGTTAATTACTTTGAAAGCCTCCTCGTTGATATCAATCTTGTTTTCTATCGCATCTATAGGATGAGATAGAATGGCGCTACGAATAGATTTTATTTGTCCTTTACTTAACCACACTGCTTTGTTGTGTTCGGAAATCCGACGAGAAAGACGCCTAATTATGTGGCCTATGAAACTAACCGGTTCACTCCATAGGAGTAGGTTAATTGGTAGATACACATGGAAGCGATCGATAGTTAAGAGAAAATCACTTGAAAAATAAGCACATAACATTATTCTAAAATTATATTGTATTCACCACTTGACTCATTGTTGTTTAAACTGTGCTCTAAATGAGTACATTTAACAACAAATAATTATGCTAATAACCTGTACCTTTGTTTCTGTATTTTAGGGTGATAAAGGTGAAAAAGGTTTACCAGGCACAACACTTCGAGTGGCTGATGTTGGTGAAAAAGGTGAAAAAGGTCAACCTGGTGTACCTGGTCCACCTGGACCTAAAGGTAGACAAGGTCCAAAAGGTGATACAGGACCTCTAGGTCAACCAGGCAAAGATGGTCTACCCGGTCAACCTGGTCCTATGGGACCAAAGGGTGAAAAAGGAATACCTGGACCAGAAGGACCACGAGGCGTTGAAGGACAACCAGGTCCAAAAGGTATTAAAGGATTTATTGGTCCCAAAGGATTCCCTGGATCAGTAGGTAAGTGTGTGACTGCTAGTAAGCTTGTATATATCAATAACTTCATTTTAAAACGATTAGTTTCCTTTATGAATTTAGACAAAGCAATAAGAAGAAGTAATTTGTTGGAATCGTGTAATGCTGTATTTGCACATCACTTATTTCGGACAATGTGATCCACCACACCCGGACTTATCATCGGAATATACGTATGAAATTAATAAAGAGTTAAGAAGTGAGAAGTAGAAATAGACTGTATATTTCCCAATAGAGGAGATAGGTCTTCTGTTCTCACAATTTAAATGTACGTGTGGACACACATACATAAGGAGGACTCATCGATCTCTGCAAGTAAGGGCTGGCTTCACAGCATATTCCTTAATCGCTCCAGAAGCAACTAGAATCCCCAGAATCCATTAATGGTGAGAACAGGAGACCTAGCTCCTCTATTGAGCAACATATTATAGAGACAAGACATAAAATTGGTGTTTACATGTCTTTTAAACCTATCAATGAAATGTCTTTGGGGTGTATCCTATTGTTTGCGGAAGCCCCCTAGCTATTAGACAGTTCAAACCACATTGATGCGTCCAAAGCAACAATTCGTCATCACACTAAACCAAGTTTCTTGGTAAAGTTTGTTTTGATACCTGTCAGGGTAGTTGTACTATTACCTCTGTTATTTGGTTTAGTGGCCTTCATTGTTATTTTGACCTTCAATATGTCCTTTTCACTTGACATAAGTGGTCTATTTTCCCACCTCTTAATTCTTTAATATTTGCATATATATCCATTTCTGTGACAAGTACGTGTGTGAGATCAGATTGTTCGAAATGTGTTGCGCAAATACAGCATGACACGTTCCAGACTAATTACTTCTTCTTATTGCTTTGTCTAACTTAATTTTACTTGTCCTGTGGGTCTTATATTTTATCAGATTTAGTTAGTGATTAAAAATCAGTGAAATAAATAATCTCGATAACCGAGTTTCTAAAAAATTGATGAATGAATTTCAATATCGCTTTTGTTCACATTAGGTCCTCCTGGAGAGCGTGGTCCTACTGGAGATCGTGGTGAAGTATCAAGATCACTAACTGGACAGAAAGGTGAACGTGGTCCAATGGGTTTACCTGGGCCAATGGGTAGAAAAGGTGATCCAGGAGAAACTGGGCTAAGAGGCGCCCCAGGTGACGTAGGAGAACCAGGCCCTGATTTGGTTGGAGCACCTGGAGAAAAAGGAAGCCCTGGACCAACCGGCCGACCAGGAGTTCCTGGAATGAGAGGACCTAAAGGAATGAAAGGTGTATCACCAAGGGAACCTGGAGAACCTGGTCCTAGAGGTGCTGATGGACCACCGGGTATCAAAGGTGAACGTGGACCAAAAGGATTTGACGGATCTATTGGTAGAAAAGTAAGTTCAATCAATGCCAACTATTCATTCATTTGATAGAGAATTTTTTCTCTCAACGATTCATTTTCAATAGCTGTACTATCCTATGTATTCATGAAATCGATAAGATACTAAAAACCTATGTTCTAGGAAGTGTCCCCCATAGTGTGAGGAATAATCTAGTCTTATAATGAAGGTTTTGATGAAAAAAAACTAGTCGATATATTGTCATATTTTTCATTTCTCTGACTTGATAACTACATTAGTTTTCTATATTCAGGAAACAAACTCCATTGGAATAGGATTTCAGTTACCAAGCTTCATATTCACCAAATAAATAAGAACAGGAGACATTTATTTCCAAATATGAAATTAAAACAAGCAACAAAGGTAAGTGAAGCAGGATTTAATGAATTCACCAAATTTCGGTCGAAGCACTCTTCAACTGGATGAATACTCAACATACAGGGAGATAAAACTATGATAAAATGCATTACCATCTCATAACAACATTCAAATAAATAATCAGTTATCGCCGAGTGAAAGAACTTAAATATACCAAGAACTGTGAACTCATAATAATAGTAACAAAATTATAGTGCGTCGGTGGTACAGTGATTAGGACTCTCGCCGATCATTCACATGGTCCGACGTTCGATCCTCCGCCAACGCACACCTGATATCTATGGTCGGCCTGCAAAATTTGGGCTACCGATATCACATGCTGAAAATTCGATACTTGTACTAAAAATACAGTGTGGAATCAAGCTGTAATCAAAAAACTCAAAAAAAAAATAAAAAAAATAGTTCACCGAAAATACCCATTGAGTCACAAAGTAAATAAATAGAAGACAAATTCAGAGAAGAAAATTCCCTTTATCGACGAAATCATCTTCGGAGGCTGCACATAGTCGTATTTATATTTACGAAAAAATGTTTAGTAGTCTATTATTAAGTAATGGGGACAGGGGTGGTGACATAACTGAAATAACTGCTCAGAAGTGCTTTCAAAAGTAAAACATTAAAAGTACAAATCACGTAATACTCAACTGCACAAAGGAAGAAATATAATAAGGTTAAAATTGTGATTGAGTGATTGATTGGATGGAGAATTTCATTATGAGCTGATGTCAGTGTTAGAGAACCACTGGAAAACCGCCAAGGAGTACTAGACATATCTTTCATCCCAAATTGTGACTCTTCAGTAGTACGCACCCACCGAAGTTCGAACCTAGAACCTTCTGGTTATAAGGTGAGCTCGTAGGTGCCTACTGTGATGAGTCCCAGACTAGGACGAAACAGCTGTCCAGTATTCACAACTGATTTTCCAGTGGCTCTGTTACTGATTTCAGCTCATGATAAAATCCTCTATCCAATCAAATGAAATCCCTGCAAAAGCAATACTTGTTACTGAGTGAGTATAAAGGCAGTTGAGTGTCCATTCAACAAATGTGAAGACAGTGAGAAAATGTACAAAAAAACATGTGAGAGTGATAATAGTGAATTAATTATTATTATTAAAATAAAAGCAAACTAAAAGTAAAATTGAATATTCAAAATATTAAAATCTTTTACAGGGAAAGACTGGGGAAGAGGTTAAGACCGAGATTGAATAAGAGATTGGAAAAACTTTTTCTGTATTCAGAATGCAGGATTGTACTGACGAATTGTCAACGCGTCCGACATACACAAATACTGAAACCTGACACCCTTTTTACAATTTGGCCTCACCTTGTAGATAATCTTGAAAGATGACTCTGGTGAAGCTGAGTGGCTTGAGTTCATTAACTCTGCTCGAGAATCGAACTATTACCTATCTTGCATTGTCCTTTTACCAACCATACCGGATAATGATCAGAGATGCGTTTCGAAGAAAGTGTGCGTGGCAACCATTTCATTCTGTATAGAGAGACCTGACTTATAAACTGTGATTGTGCAAGCCTCCTTCGCAGTTGTAGGTATCTTCTTGTTTGTTTGTCTGTTGAAGACGGAGAATGACTTGACGACGTCAAAATCATGAGATCATCTGCGCGGTGTACATCAGGTTTGATTCAGTACCTCAGAATGCAGACACAGTTCAAACCACACCCGATTGTTTGGCTGCCTACTTGAACGAACTGATTATACCGTCAACATTTAATTACATTCTTAGTAATTATTTGAGAAACTGGAAAAATAACGAAAACACCGTATAAAATATGCTTAATTGTATGTTTTTTCCTCTTTGAAACAGGGATTGCCAGGTTTGAAAGGTGAACAAGGGTCAAAAGGAATTTCAGGTCAACCAGGAAGACCTGGTAGTGTTGGTGAGAAAGGTGAACGAGGACCACCAGGAATTCCAGGTGAAAAAGGCAACAAAGGTATTAAAGGTGAAATGGGTCGTCCAGGATTACCAGGCCAGAAAGGTGAAAGTGCATTTGCTATTGTTGGAATGAAGGGAGAAAAAGGAATACGAGGAGATGATGGATTAATCGGTCCCAAGGGTTTACCAGGAGTTGATGGAGCTCCTGGTTCTCCTGGTCCAAGAGGTGAACCCGGTGATGCTGGTGAACCATCGCCTAGAGGTCCTAAAGGTTATCCAGGTCCACCTGGTGAAAAAGGATTTATGGGTCCAGAGGGAACGAAAGGTGAAGTTGGTCCAATTGGTGAGCAAGGAGCACCAGGAGGCATTGGGGATACACGCGGTAACACTGGACATTTATTTACTGTGTAAGTTTACATTCCTTAATTAATGTACTCATTATTAAAAGTAGGTTGTCATTAGACTGAACTGATGAGCTTTTAATGACACCCACTTTTCAAATAAATGCAGAGTTACTCTCCTACCTACATATATATATACATGTAACGACAGAAGTCAAGGGCCAGGCAACAGATCCTTTATTGAGAAAATCAACAGATATTTACATATTTTTATGTACATTATCACTCGTTAGTACTAGCAGAGAAACAGTGTCTTCTGATTGGTTGTTTTCTCGCTGAAAGTTATTCTGTTATCGCTTTGTGGCCGTTTCTTTGAAGGTCAGACCATATATCTGCGTATCGTATCCACCAACGCAAAGTCTGCTGTGATTGGTTGTTGAGTTCCTCACGGTTAGGCTTTGTTCTTGTTTTTTTTCTCATGACCGAGATTTGGGACGTAAACATTGACGTGAATTGCTGTCTACCAATTTGGCTAGCATACAGCTCTCAACGTATATATATATATATATATATATATATTCAAGGGTTAATATGTAGGGTTTTGATTTGTTTCAAGTTTGACCACAGAATGATATCAGTTAGAGAACAAATGAAAACCATTTAGGAGTTCCGAACAGCCGTTTCGTCCTATTTCAGGACATGTTGGTAGCAAGCACCCACTGCGGTTCGAAATGGGGACCTTCCAGTTACAAGTCAAACTAATAGACAATTCAGTGATCCATGAATTCCAGCTTCTCCCAGTTGATGTTTTTAGCGCGACTATCAGCCAACGTCATCAGCTAGTATTTGTTTCTGGTTTTAATGATCCTCTAACTTAAAATGATCCGTGATCAAACTTGAAATATATATATGTACATATAGCGCAGTTTGCAATTGAATTTGGAAGTAATTTTCTCACTTAATATTAACTACAATCTGTACGCAGTGTCATACAAGAACACAAAGAATCCTTGTAGTAGTAGCGTTGTAATCGAAGTTCAGAAAACTCAGCAGAGAGACAGTATGAATGGTATGTAAGCTCAAAATTTAATCAGTTTCTAGATTAATCACTCCATCTAAGACAGACATCATTAACAAAGACATTGTCATCTGAATGGAAATAACTTAAAACAACTAGAATAATGGATTAGATCATAATGTGCATCGGTAAACTGGATAAGGAACCAAATAACCAAGCCTGTATAACTCATTGTCTCACGATAACATTAAATATGTGAATGTAATAATATTTGGAAACCAGCATATATATATATATATATATATATATATATATATATTCAAGTGTTGGTTTGTAGGGATTTGATTGGTTTCAGGATTTAACCATGAGCTGACATTAGTCAGAGAACCATTGGAAAACCTGGGAGTACTGGACAGCTGTTTCGTCCTAGTTTGAGACTCTTCAACAGTACTCACCCACCGGGATTCGAACCCAGGACCTTCCGGTTACAAGGCGAGCTCGTATACCATTAAGCCACTGGGACCCGATCCAATGGTCCTTGAATTCTAACTTCTGCCAATTCACGATATGGCGCGACCGCTAGCCAATGTCTTCGGCGAGTATTTGTCCTCACACTCGACCTGCTGAAAAAGCACAGAAGACAGGACTGCAGATGAAAATAGAGAAGATGGAGATAACCAACCAATCAAGAACAACAACAACCAGCATCAATCACCATCGAAGAGAGAGATTTGAAAGAGGTTACTTTCTTCACTTACCTGGGAAGCATCGTTTCACTGAAGGCGGCTGAATTATATGAATATTTCAAAGCCAGCCAACCAGAATCTGAAAGGCAAAATACGCCTACACATCAACCTGAAAACAGTTTGGAAATCTTCTACAATCAGCACAAAAAGAAAAAAAGAAAATTCGAATTTTCAACACAATTCACAAGTCACCCAGTCATTCACTTCTATACATGTCAGAAACCTGACTGGTGTGTCACGAAAAAGGATTTTCAACAAGTCACTGCAGACGCTTATCAACAGCTGCCACCTTCACTGGCTGGCTCAATGCTGAAGATTAAATCATCGGTCAGCCAGGAAGAATTAACAACAAGGAACTCTGGTTTGGAAAAGAAACCAACAAATATGTAGAAGAAAATGGAGATAGATCAGGCGTGCGTTGTGGAAGGAAGCCGTCGAATGACATCGAGCTCAATGCAGGCCATTGTTATAGTGGAATCGGAATGGGAAGCGACAAATGGGTAGTCAGTTCTAGGGTGACATAGAGGAGATCGTGTAGGGAGGGGGAGGAGGAGGAGGAGGAGCAGATGAGAGATTGTGGTCAATCGTGAACCCAGCTGAAGAGGGTGGCGGAAAATAGAAGAAATTGGATTTGTGTTGTTGAAGCCCTATGTTCCACTCGGAACCAAAGGGAATAATATATATATATCTTCCTTATATACCATAGTGTCAGATAATTTGCTCACTTCAGGATAAAATGACTGCTTTGGTATTATTACAAATATATCAAAGATGTTAACATTTAAATCACTAATGTCAACTACAAACTCTTTAAATCACCTATGAAGTTATATGATTTCATTTACTCGAATATTTGGTAGATTCATTATTATTATTATTAATATTGTATCCTTTAGTTCCTAGAGGAACAAAGGACTTCAGCTGCGCACCTCCATTGCCTTCTGTTTTCTGCCAACTTTTTCACCCTGCTCCAGGTCTGTCCACATGCTTTCATCTCCTCCTCGCATGACCTCCTCCAAGTCACCCTTGCATTGACGACCAACTCGCCGTCTCCCTTTCGGGTTCCACTCGAGAGCTTGTCTAGTGATGTCACTTGATGGTTTCCTCAGAGTATGGCCAATCCATCTCCATTTCTTCCTGCCTATTTGTTTCACAATCGGTTATTATTATTATTCCCTTGGTTTCCAAGTGGAACATAGAGTTTCAGTAGGGTATCTCCATTTCCCCGCGTTATCTGAAGTCTTCTTCATACATCCCTCCTTGCCCTTCGACTCGACTGTCTATCCGACACACGGTGTCACCCAACGGTGCAATCCATCCTAATGATTGGCTCGTTTCTAGAGTATCTTGTTGCTAATTCTTCCTGACTGACCGGCCATTTGATCTTCAGTATGCGGCCAGCCAGTGAAGGTAGTGTAGGTGTTGTTGAATGTTTGCATCGACCTGTTGGAAAGGCTTATGGTGATATTGACACCAAGTCCTTGAAGCATATGGAACAACTGACCGACTTAACACTAGTATTAAAAATCCGAATCTTGTTCTCTGTGCTTGAGTGGAGACGATTTCAACACTGATTTCAAGGTGATAAAGGTCCATTTCGCTTTTCCGTTTCCTGCTTTGACATCCTCATCTGTACCGTCGTCTGTTGTTGAAATCATACTGTCGAGATAATTGAAAAGGAGTGACCTCTTTCAAATTGGTGGATTCAGAAAACGGATATCAGGAGTGCAACTCCATCGCTTTTATTATACATTATATATATAATTAAAAGGTGGAAATGGTTACAACACGTGGATTGCATAATGCATAATTTTGGAAAAATGAAGAGCAATTAAGGAATAAGCGTGTGCACAGGTTGATTACGTAACAGATTGTTAAAGAAAATAAAACAATTTGGACAATGATAATTTGTAACTAAAGTTGAAGTGGCCATAAGAATAAAATAATTTTTACAAGGATAACACGTAATTAAAGATGAAGTAGTCAGAAAAATAAAATAATTTGGACAATTATAGTTTTTTCAAAAAAGAAAAATTATTCTAGGGGCAGGGTGATGCAGCAGTCCGGTTTATACAGTCATGTAACGATGGCCAAGGTAAGGAAAGTGGCTGTACAAATTTCTTCTGGACACACAAATTTGGTTTCTTCAGGTGGATTCCTATTGCTTCAGCTGTATGTAGAAGACGAACTCGTAAAGCCGAATTAAGATTAGTAGGAATGCGATAAATAATTTTAAATGAAGTATTAACATCAACCTTATGTTCACTATCTACAAGGTGGGCTAAAATAGAGCTACGAATAGATCTTGTTTGTCCCTTGCTTAACCATGCCGGATGATGTTCGGAAATACGATGATGAACCTGCCTAATTGTTCGCCCGATGTAGCTGGCTCCGCAGCTGCAGTCAAACTGGTGGATAGACATAGAAGAGGCGAATTTAGGTAGTTTATCCTTATTACTCGAACGTAGGATAGGTGTGGTCGTGAAGAGACAGTGTAACTCTGCTGCATAATAAGCTCTTTTAACTGCATTCCTCAGTCGCTGTGTTATTATTTCGCTGATGTTGTCGCCGAGGAACTGAAGTTTTATGAACAGTGGTTTTTTCGGAACTGTTGCCATAGTCACTGTCCTAGGTGATGAATTCATATTTTTCTCAATAAACTTACCTGGATAACCATTTTTTCTATGTAATTCTCTAATAATCTTAAGCTTCTCATTGAAGCAGTCGTCTGAACAGATTAACCTAGCTCTATGAGCTAGACACTTTACCAGGTTGCGTTTATATTTCAAAGGTAAAAAACTCAAAAAATGAGTGTACTGTCCTGTTGTAGTAGGTTTCCTGTACACACTGAAATTTTAACAATGTACATACACAGGTATCTATTCTATAAGGGTTATAAAAATTATCCTTGTAACAACAGAAGATAAGGGTCAGGCAACAGATCGTTTATTAAGGAAATCAACACGTATTTATATATTTTCATGTACAGTATTATAGCTTATTCTTAGCAGACAAACACAGTCTTCTGATTGGTTGTTTGTCACAGAAAGTTGACCTTGCATCTCTTTGTGACTGTTTCTTGAATGTCAGGTCATCTATAATGTTAATTGTATCTGCCTACTCAAAGTCTGCTGTGATTGGTTGTTGAATCAGTCTTGTTCATATTTTCTCACGATCCATATTCGCGACATAAACATTGACGTAAATTAATGTCTACCAGTTGGCTAGCAACCTCCTCTCAACACATCCTGATATATGCATTTCTAATTGATTATATTTCATCAATTTTTTTTCACTTTAAATTATCTTTCAGTCACAGTCAAACAACACGTATACCATCATGTCCATCATCAACGCGTAAGCTATGGGAAGGTTATTCATTTTTAAGTATGACTGGTTCAGAAAGAGCTCATGTCAATGATTTAGCCAGTCCAGGTTCATGTTTACAACTATTCAATCCAATACCGTTTATGTTTTGTGAAAAACAAGAAAATTGTTATTATGCTCAACGTAATGATCGAAGTTATTGGTTAAGTACAGAAGAAGAACCAATGATGTGGAATCCAGTACCAGCGAATGAAACACAAAGACATATAAGTCGTTGTGTTGTCTGTGAAGCACCTAGTAAAGTGAGTGAATTTCATTGCGTTATAGGTAAATGAATGATGGATGATAATATCGTCAAATTATATTATTATTATTTTTTTTTCTTGGCTACTCTAACTACTAATGACCAGAACTGAAGATTAGGATAGAAGATTGTATTCAAATCCCTACAAAGCAACAGATGAATATCAGTCTTAGTTATCTGGGATCTGATCGGAGGTCCTGACCAGTGGGATACAGCAGGATGAGTGAGAGGACAAAGACTTACCAATGGCTTTGGCTGGTGGTCGTGGTATATCGTGAATTAGCAGCAGCTGGAATTCACCAGCCATCGAATAGGATCCCGGTGGCTGAATGGTCTAAAAGCTCGCCTTGTGACCGGAAGATTCTGGGTTCGAACCCCCCCACCCCGGCGGATGTGTACTGATGAGGAGACCCAAGAGACTGGGATGGCACAACTGTCCATTACTTACAGCTGGTTTCCCAATGGTTCTCTAACCGATGTCAGCTTATAATGAAATTCTGTAACCAATCAAATTCCTGCAAACTAATACTTGGATACTACTCAGAACTTACGAAGCAAACATTCAAATCAAATAATATTCGAGTTAATGCTTAGTGTAGTATTAAGACAGCGTACTAATTTGTGAAGATATCTTGGCTTATCCCACTTAGTGCTCGTGACAAAAATGTGGAAAGCCTAGCCTGACAAAACTAGAGATAGAAGCCTTGAAACACCTTAAGAATAACAAGGCTATAGTAATCGCAAAGTCAGACAAACGAAATACAACAGTAGTATTAGACAAATCAGACTATTTGAACAAGGTGAATACTCACATAAAAACGGGACCATATGAGGAAATTAATAAATCAATAGACACAGTTATGAATAAAGTCAAGAAATCCACAGCGGACCTTATACGCCGAATGAAGACGTTTCTAGGTGAATCTAAGTGGTTTAATTTAATGCCCAAAACTAATAACCCGAGTATCTTGACTTATATATTGTCATCTTGCACCATCTAAGCTAAAAATTCTGGTTAACTTTTAATTTATTGTTTTTTCTCTTTTTTTGTAACTTTTCTTTCTTTCCACATTCAGCTTTATGCTTTCCATTCGCAAACTTTGGAAATCCCAAGGTGTCCTGATGGTTGGTCAACTCTATGGCCTGGAAGTAGTTTTCTAATGGTAGGTTATGCAGCTGAGGAGTTATTTTGTTGTATTGTACACACCAAATCCCACATAGTGGGTACAATTAAATGTATTTTGAGAAATGAAAATAACCTCTTGTTAAAGACGGTGACACTGTCATAGGTCTTGATTCTAAATGACATCACAAATCCAAATGAGATAATACTGAAGAAATATATGGTAAGTTATGGACAACGTCTTTGAGTTCGGCACTGAGTGTCACAGGTTTAAAACATATAGCCAACATGAGTTCTCCAATGGGATGGATTCGTTTTATTCCTTTGCAATCTGAGTGGAGCATAAGGCTTCAAGCTGTGAGGTCTCAGGAGCAGTAGAGTTATTTCTTTATGGTGTGGGTTTGCTGGTTCCATGCATCATCTCTCTCCTTTCACTGAGCTTACTACTAGTCAAGTAGTATTTAAGAGTACGTCAGCGGCGATTTGAACTCCTACCGCTGGGCCATTGACGAAACTGGACGGATAGGCTGGTGAAAACAAAACGCCACAAAAGCTAATTTCGTAACTTCTTGCTGATAGGATTCTCCTAAAATAAAGTACTAAACGGCATTACACCATGGTGCACAGCAGTATAAGGCGTTACTGCCCTCCCAGCTGGTACAGTATAGTCTACACACTTTAAACTTCGTGATCACATTTGTTGCTTACCCTGGTGAGCACAAACCTCTTCAAAATTCTCATCTCCGATACGTTCATCTGCCGTGGAACAGAGGAGGACAGCAAGTATGGGAGCTTTACATAATTTGCTTGTACAACCAAATAGATGTTATGGAAGTGATTCAGATTAGTGCAAGATAAGTTGGCTATCAGTATCTAAATCAGAATTTCATAAAAATGTAAGCAACTCTGTGGAGACAACGATAATCAAATACAAAGTCGCAACAAATCCTAATTTTGAAGAAGCCAGGTTTCATAGGTATGAAGCCAAACTGTACTCATCGAAGCGCTGTGAACTTGACTAAAATTGCAGCAATGCCATTTTTTTAACCAAGAGTGAAGTATGGCATATAATCACTACGAAATGCGACAGCCTGTACACTGTTGATTAGATTACGTGTTCTAGCAAATGGCAGAGGATATACACATAAAGCTCTTCGCAAATTAGTCTTCTATGCAATTTCTAGTTAGCCGAAAGCGACAGTAGTCAATATGTTCGTTACTAATGTTGGTAGAATAATACCTCGGTGTTTGAAGATATGCACGATGACGGCCAATTTCCACACTAATAGGATACTCTCACTCTTCTCAATTCAGTAGTCTCCTCTATTATTCTCACTACCATCCTTAAAAATAGTCAGAGGTAAGTTACCTGGACCGAGAGGCTTAGGGCAGTTCCCTGCGAACCTATACTTAAGTAGATTAGTGTTAACTGACTATGAAGTATTTTGTCTTATAGCGTAGAGTACAGCGTAGTTTTTTAAAGTTCTGTGACCAACATTTCAAGTATCTCTGAAGATTATTTATCGGCTTAGCATCTGCTTCAAAAACAGATTTCACTGAAACCAGATTGTTTTTTTAGTTGCAACTGCAACAGCTTCCGATTGCTGAGAATTGAAGTCATCGCCCCTCTGCCACCTTATAAACACTATGGATTACCAGGCTTCTCAGCCAGTATGTAAGGATTGTTTACTCAGACAGTATTACTCAGATGACTGTTATGGATATCTGAAAAAAAATGCAGGGAACTAGGTAAAACGTCTTTCTCCAGATAAATAAACGGATAACTCGAATACCCGTGTGACAGACGAAGGAGAACTATAAAGCCATAAAAAATCACGTTTCAAAGTTGAGAAGCTATTCTTGATATGATTATGAACTATATTGTGTTCGAAATGCCATTCGATAGAAAAAATACTGCCTCAATGTATGATATATCTATTGGACCCTTACCTTACTCCCATACCACTCAGCAAAGGATAAATAGATGAAGATTTCTGAAGATCTGAAGAGAATTACCTTCTTTATCCTACTTTGAGCTGGTAAGATAAGCCTATAATGATTGCAGTGACCAAGAATATTACAAAAATCGACTTTATAGTTAAGTGAGGAATATGCGATATTGTCAACAAAACTAGTTACAAGATTGTGTGAACATTCTTAGCTCTCACAATAAGGTATTACTCTGATGATATTAGATAGTTGGAGGTAATCGGCCACAGGAAGCCTTGGCCCCGGGTTTCGTGCTAGTTGGTAATCATCAGCAAAACGTATCTGCAACTGTGAAAGGACTCCTGTCTCTTCCGAGGTTGGAACCCGCGCCACCCTGTGTGAGCTGCAGTCAGCGATGTTACCACTGAGCTATTCGGCCTAGCGACTGACCTCCTGCAGGACTGTAGTGGGCACTTTAATTGAACACTAGTAATTAGTGCGATGTGTCTAGTCCTTTCTTTGGTGCAAACTGAATTCTATCAGTCAGGTTTGCAGTGTGGCCACCATTCTAGGTAGCTCAACATCACGGTATTACTCTATTATCCGTGGGCTCAAATAATATGTAAACACCCAGACTAATGTTGTTCGGCTTTTTTAGTAGATCATTTCTTGAGCTGCAGAAGTTCAGATTTGAACAATCAGTTTAGGGATACCAACTAAACTTCCACCGGAGATGAGTATGTAAGCCGACGATTGGAATGAGTGATTTTCAATTCATTAATACAAATTAGTATACAAAAGCATGATAACAGCTGTTTTATTTTTCATGTGAGGAAAATGGCTAAAAGTTGACCGATAAATGTTAGACACGCCACGTGTTTACAACAGACTGCTGAAGACTTTCATGAACATTTCACTTCGCTGGCTCCATGGTGTAGGTAACACATGGTCAGCCAAGAAGAATCAGCAGCAAGAAACTCTAGAAACGAGGCAATCAATAACCTATTACTCAACAAATATACTGAAGAAAATGCAAATGTATCTGACACACGCTTGGTGACATCGTGCGTCAGACAGACACTCCAGTGGAAGGTGAATAGGAAATGTGCGTCGGTGGCACAGTGGTTAGGACTCTCGCCGACCATGCACATGGTCCGGGGTTCAAGCCCACGCCGGCGCATACCTGATATCTATGGTCGGTCTGCGAAATTTGGGCTACCGATATCCATGCTGAAAATTCCATACTTGTACCAAAAATACAGTGTGGAATCAAGCTGTAAATCAAAAATAAAAATCAAAATAAAATAAAAATAAATAACGACTTACGAGTGGGTCCAAGAGTGAGATAAGCTGGTTTTGTGAGCAGATGACAGCTTATGGGGAACCATGGAGGCGGCTAGAGAGAACTACAGAGACTGAATTAAAATGGAGTTACTCTGTTCAAGCTCTATATTCCAGGTGGAGACTCACAACCCAAGGAAATAATAATAAATCACAGATGCTAAGAAAAAGTAGTCATGAAGAACATCTTCAGAAATACAGTGGTCCTCAGTAATCTTAACATCTCGTTCAGTTAGCTCAGAGAATTTTTCATGTAAAAGACTACAAGCTACACTTATTTATTGTTGATGAATGGTGGTACTACCCAGTTGTCGATTCTGAAGCAGGTGTGGTGGAGCTCCAACCCGTGACTGATCGGTTGGAAACCAAAGGCTTATTTATCCTGCTAAATATTTTAAACAACGTATTTTGTATGTTTTTAATTCAATTTCCATCTACCACGTTGACTGATTAGACCAAAATTTTCTACTTCTGTTGACATGCTGGATACACACTAAGAGCCCCAGAGACTGATAGTGTCCCCAGTGAGTCTCGAACCCGATATCTTTCATTTCAGACATCGTCGAAGCGTCCATACTAAGTAGAGACTGACAAATGCCAAACATTTTGGCATAACAACGGATACGCATTGCACAAGAGGTAGCTCCCGCTGTCCAAATGATCTTGTGAATAATGCTTCAGTGTTTAAAAACGACGGAAACTAGGTTCAAATCTCAAAAGGAACACCATCACTCACTCATTGGAGGACGCAAGTAAGTCCAGTTGGGGCGTCCTAAATAGGACAAAGTGCGCATACTGGATTTCACTGTAAACCACCATCCACTAAAATTACTTCAAGGTACTATTATTCTTGATGTTTTTCTAATACGATATTTGGGACATTTGTCTTTTTCGGATGGAGGGTCTCATCATTAGCTGACATCACTTACAGAACCACTGGAAAACCTGCAGCCGTTTCGTCCTAGTTTGGGACTCTTCATCACCACGCACCCACCGATGGGTTTAAAACCTAGGACCTCCTGGCTACAAGGCCCAATGGTTTACGAGCTCGCCTTGTCAACAGAAGATCCTGGGTTCGGACCCTGGAGGTGGGTGCGTATTGATGAAGGGTCACAAACTAGGACGAAACGGCTGACTAGTACTCCCTGTAGATTTTCCAGTGGTCCGCTATCTGACGTCTGCTCATGATAAAATCCCCCCACCCCCAAAAAAATCAATACTTGAACATTTGTTTTTTTATTGATGTTCATATATTTTAGAATACCGGTTATGGTGCACAAGGTGGAGGACAACAATTAGCATCACCAGGAAGTTGTATACCCCAGTTTCGTTCACATATGTTTATTGAATGTACTGCGAAGGGTTTATGCGGTTTCTTTGAAGAGCATAAAAATTTCTGGTTACGTGTTATGCCTAGTTCAATGGATGAGCATATGTTTGGTATGGTCATGGGTACTGTAATCAAAGTACGCAGTAGCCAAGATTCTGTTAGTAAATGTGTTGTCTGTATGCGAACTCAACCAATGTCAACATTATTTTATTTACATTAATTATAAAATGCTTTAAAGAAAATTATCCCTTTTATTATTATTATTACTATTGTTATTACTATTATAATTATTGTTAACTAACAATATCAAATCTAATTTACTAATCGATACCTACTTTGGTATCTCGACAAATGTACTCTGATTAGCATGACTGGGTAAAACCTTCTTCACACTCTCTGTGAATGCTCGTTCATTCATGAGACAGACAAATGAGCAGTATCATCTAGGGTTCTAAACAAATAAAAATTTAAAAAAGGTTTCTACAGCAAACAAATTAATTCAATTAAACAAATAACTGCTTTGACGGGTTCAATTTTTTTCTTTTGTTTTTTTTCTTTTTTGCTTTGTTTAGCTAAAACTTTTTAACAAATACAAAAGATTTTTATGATTTCAATTTAGAATATTTATATAATATGTGTTATGTGTAATCTTTCCTTTCTTCTATCTACTCTGTGTGTTACGAATGATTTTTACTTCTTCTCTCTCTCTCTCCCTGCAAAATCACTCTGACATTTTATTGACGGTAAAAAAGTTAAACAAATAGCAATTTTTCTAATTTATATTCAATTTATACTCGAAGTATTTCTTCCTACAATTAATTACATATTATAAATATATATATTTCTATTTATAATTTCTGCCAAATATCAAAAATACGGGTTATGATTTTATCATTCTACTAACAATATTTTAAAATTTGCGCTCTCCTTTTTGCTAGTATTTTGTTCAATATTCAATGTTTGACATTGAACAAATGAAAATGGAAATAAACCAATCAGGCAGTCAGATCGTAAGACAGGGATGCTTAAATATGCTTATATTGCACACATACACACACACACACTCGTATGCATATATATATATTTCTGTTAGGCTGCTTTTTGAAAATCTTTTCACCTTTTCACCCTCTATGTTTGTTTGTCTGTTTATTTCTAGGAGTTTATTGGATTCGTTTAAAAATTTTTGCTTATTTACAAAATGCTTTATATTACTTAATTACTTACTTATTGATTTATTTATCAAATTATATTTGAAACAGTTTTTGTTTTGTTTTGTTTTTAGTTCTGTAATAATAAGAAAATTGCAAAAGATGAGAAATTTTGATTAGATAACATAATAAATATATAATTTTATTGTGAATTTTTCTATGATTATTATTATTACTAATATTATTATTATTATTATTGTGACTTCTATTCATTTGACTGAGTGTCCAATATCCAGTACTTCATGTGGGTACGTATGTGTGTGAGCGTACTTGTTCTATCCTGTATTGTTTATAAGAAATCCACTGTTGACCTTCTTAATATATAAAGTTATAATGATAATAACAATAAATGGAATATATATATATTTACTTTAAAATGTCTTTCTAATAACTCTGTCGCCTTCGAAGCGTTTGGGAGCGATCGAAAAGAAGCCTTATTGAGACCTAGGCCTTATGCCTGTTCGCACTCACCATTCAGTCAGTAAACAAGGTGTAAGTGAAACTTTGAAGGGAATCATGCCACTTCTGAGATTCGAACTTGTGTCACCTAGTACTAGAGTCACAGACGTTACCACTAAGCAGCTATTATTACTCTTATTATTGTTTCCTTTAGTTCCTAGAGGAACATAGGGCTTCAGCCGCAAGTCTCAATTGCGTTCGGTTCTCTGCCAACAGTTTCAACTGGCTCTAAATCTGCCGACATGCTTTCATCTCCTGTTCACATCACGTCCTCCTCCATGTCACCCTCGCACTGACGACTAACTCGCCACTTCCCATTAGGTCTCTACTCAAGAGAGGGAACCTGGTTTGTGATGTCACTTGTTGATGGTTCGTTTTCTCAGAGATCCCTGTTGCTGATCTTTTCTGACCGGCCATTTGATCTTGAGCAGTACTGAACGAACAGCAGCTAGCTGTCGATGAAGGTCTGTAGTTTGTTTGAGGTGCCCTTCATGACGTGCCAAGTCTCTGATCCGAGTGATAAGTAGCACCGACTTCACATTGAAGTTGAAAATCCAGACCTTATTTTTCATACTGAGTGTTGCTGATTTCCACACAGGCTTGAGAGTAGTGAAAGCATGTTTTGTTTTCCCGATCCTCAATTTGGTCATATCTTCATCAGCTTCATCCGCCTTTAGCTGAAACGATGCTTCCCGGGTAGGTAGGTGAAGGAGGTTGTTCCTTTCAGATCCCTCCCATTTATGCTGGTTGATTGCTGTCTGTTGTTGTTGTTGTTGTTGACCAGGAATCTTCATCACCTCTATTTTATCTAAGTCCATCTGAAGGAAGTCCTATCTTGGATGTTTCTTCCATCTCACAAATGACCTCTTGCAGGAATTTATGAGGTACCATGATTGGACATTAGGGAGTAACTAGTAGTGTCATATGTCTAGTAGACCTTTTTTGTCCTCTGAATGCTCGAAATAGATCGAAATCACTTTATTAAATAATAATATTAATAATAATCAAAGGGAGTGTGTACTATGTGAGACAATTCGCCCTGTTCTATTTTTTAACGACAGTGGCTTTATTATTTGTCTTTTTTTACTCCTTTACGTTCCCAGTGGAACATAAGGCGCCTTCAAGCTAGAGGACTGAAGTTTCTGTAGCAGTGGTATTTTTAATTTTTACTGGATAGGGTTGCTAGCCAGTCTTATTACTAACTTAGCGAGGTAAAGGTGTGCTTCGATGACCGGGAATCGAACATCGGACCATCGGCCGTTGAGCATTCTATCACTGTACCAAAGACTTTGGCTTTATTGTATATCCCCGTTAATTGTGACGTCGTAGTGTACTGCTATAGTGGTTTACTGACAAATAATTTTTTGTATGTTTCTTAAGTGAAATTTTGCATTAAAAGATTTTTTTCTGGCGTAAATATTATCTATCGATGGCATTATATTCTTGAACTGTGTTGCATTTGCTGCACTTTTATGAGAAAATCTTTTCTTGATACTGATATCTGCAGAATATAATGAATGGATTAAAGGAGGTAGCAGTAGGTTTAAAAATTAAACGCACCCATTTTTGAACTTTTATGAAATCCTGCTGGCATATTTTGACCTATTTATTGAAACGCCTTAATAACCACCGTAAGTCAGTGCCACAGCGGTAGAATGTCTGCCAACCACGCTTCATGTGGTTCGTGTCTCGATCCCCGGCCACTGGCGCACTCACTTACCTCGATAAACCAGTAATAAGACTAGCAAAGATGGAAGGTTGGGCACGAGACTGGCTAGCAACCCCACCTCATAAAAATAAATACCACTCTTACGGAAACTTCAAGCCTATGTCCTGTCTGTCTGTCTGTCTGGATTCAACATAGAACTTGGCACCGAAGTACAGCAGTTCGAGTTGCCTCCTTCCAAATTGCACACAGAGGTAGACAAGAAGATGAGTGAAGAGAACAAATACAGTCTGACAAGTATAAGAGTGAAACAGAATGGGTAATGGTAGAAAGGAATATGAAGGATTACAGAGACTGAATACATGTGCGCTGGCCATTGACAACGATGAGTTTGAGCCATGTCACCTATTGTCTCCAGCCATCGATTCCTAGAGTCCCGAGGGCCCCAACCCGGAAGTCCGCATCTCCCTCCCTACCTGACTCAGTTTAACTGTCAAGGATTTCATGGATTGATGAGGCCATGTTTTTGTTTGGCCACCACTGGCTCTTTTCCAACCTGCACCTATATCAGCTAGTACTGCCCGTCGGCGGAGGGAGGCGATGGTTAGGCATGCGCAGCACGTGACCTAGCCATCTTAGTCTATGTAACTTTATAGCCTCGTCGATTGATTTTGCCTCTTTGCCCAACACTCTACGCCTAACGTCAACATTACTTACCTTATTAAACCACCTAACGTGAGAACGAGATCGCAGACATCTATGACCGAAAGCAGTCAACCTTTTCATGTCTTCAACGCGTATTGGCCATGTTTCAGATCCATAGAGAAGGACGGAGCGAACTGCTGAGCAGTACACACGTCCCTTGGTTGATAACCGGATGTCACGCCTACGCCAGAGATGGTCTAAGTCAGCGAAAGCAGCTCGAGCTTTTCGGATCCGTGGTGAGATTTCATCGCCCATCAGTCCGTTGGTGCTAATACAACTTCCCAAATAGGTGAAGTGGTCAACATGTTCTATCACTTCACTCCCTATCACTAAGCTAGGAGTTGACGTAGTCCAGTCCTGTAGCAGCATCTTACATTTTGTCTCTGTCTGTCTGTCTGGATTCAACATAGAACTTGGCACCGAAGTGCAGCACTTCGAGTTGCCACGTTCCAAATAGCACACAGAGGTAGACAAGAAGATGAGTGAAGAGAATCAATAGAGTTTGACAAGTATGAGAGTGAAACAGAATGGGTAATGGTAGGAAGGAATATGAAAGATTACAGAGACTGAATACATGTGCGCTGGCCATTGACAACGATGAGTTTGAGCCATGTCACCTATTGTCTCCAGCCATTGATTCCTAGAGTCCCGAAAGACCCAACCCGGGAGTCTGCATCTCCCTACCTGACTCAGTTTAACTGTCAAGGGGCGAATCGCATGCCAAACATACGAAGATTTCTGCTCAAGGTGTTCAGAAGACTCTGCATTTTGTCAGCATCCTCCCCTAACAGGACTATGTCATCTGCATATTCTAAGTCCATAAGACTATTCCCTGGTAACAAGTCGATTCCTAAGTCATTACTTTCAGTTAAGGATACTTCCATCAGAATATCTATGATGAAGTTAAACAGAAATGGGGAAAGTGGACATCCCTGTCGGACACCACTGGTTGTTACCAATTCAGATGACAATTCCCCATAAGCCCTTACACGACTACGTGAGTTTGAATAGAGTGCCTTGATTAGTGCAATGTACTTTCTTGGCACTCCCTTCACAGTCAGACATTGCCATAGTACATTTCGATCCACGGAGTCGAAGGCCGCCTTCAAGTCAAGAAATATGGCAATTGTTGGACGCCGAAAAGTGTGTCTGTGTTCTAGAATCTGTCGAAGAGTGAAGATA